ATCTGATTAGGGATTAATATTCAGAATATTGCTGTTCAGTTGCTAAGTCATGTCTGACTCTTTGTGACACCGTGAACTGCAGCATGGCAGGCCTTCCTGTCCCACACTATCTCTTGGAGTTTGCCCTAGTTCATGTTCACTGAACCAGTGATGCCACCTAATCATCTCATCCTCTGTTGCCCTCTTCTTCTGCCTTCAATCTTTCCCAGTGTCAGGGTCTTTTCCAATGAGATGGCTGTTTGCATCAGGTGGCCAAAGTATTGGAACTTCAATATCACTCCTCCCAATGAGTATTTAGGATTGATTTCATTTAGGATTGACTGGTTTGATCTCCTTGCTGTCCAAGTGACGCTCAAGAGTCTTCTCCAGCACCAGAGTTTGAAAGCATCAATTCTTCTGCACTCGGCCTTCTTTATGGTCCAACTCTCACATCTGTACATGTTTAGTGGAAAGACCATAGCTTTGACTATGCAGACCTTTGTCGGCAAAGTGATGTCCTTGCTTTTTAATACACTGTCTAGGTTTGTCATAGCTTTCCTTCCAAGAAGCAACTGTCTTCTAATTTCATGACTGCAGTCCCCATCTGCAGTGATTTTAGAATCCATGAAGAGAAAATCTGTCATTTGCTTCTACATTTTTCCCTTCTATTTGACATGAAGTGATGGGGCTGGATGCCATGATCTTAATTTTTTAATACTGAGTTTCAAGTCAGCTTTTTCACCCTCCTCTTTCAACCACATCAAGAGGCTCTTTAGTTCCTCTTCACATTCTGCCATTAGAGTGGTATCATTTGTATATCTGAGTTCTGACAAAATGTGGTCCACTGGAGAATCAGAATGTTGAGAACTGGAACTCAATAACAACAACAACGAAACAACTCAACTAAAAAAAAAAACCTGAGCCAGGGACTTGAATAGACATTTCTCTAAAGAAGATATCCAAATAGCTAATTAGCACATGAAGAGATGCTCAACTTCAACAGCCATTACAGAAACACACATCAAGACCTTGGTGAGAGGCCACTTCATACCTGTTGGGTGGCCTATTATCAAAAAGAGGGCTTCCCAGGTGGTACTGGTGGCAAAAAATCTGCCTGACAATGCAGGAGACACAAGAGACTCAGTTCAATCCCTGGGCCAGGAAGATCCCCTGGAGGAGGAAATGGCAACCCGCTCTAGTATTCTTGCCTGGAAAATTCCCTGGACAGAGGAGCCTTGTGGATTATAATCCATAGGGCTACAAAGAGTCAGACATGACTGAGTGAGTGAGTATATCTTGTTTATTAAAGAAGAGGGGGTAGGGACTTCCCTGGTGGTCCCAGGGCTAAGATTCTATGCTCCCAATGCAGGGGGCCTGGGTTTGATCCCTGGCCAGGGAAACAGATCCCACATACTGCAACTGAGTTTGCATGCTGCAGCTAAAAAGATCTCAAATGCTGCAACAAAGACCTGGTGCAGCCAAATAAATACTTAAAAAATAAAGAAGAGGAAAAACAAGTGTTGGCAAGGATGTGGAAAAGTTGGAAACTTTGGGCACTGTTGCTGGGAATGTAGAATGCTTCTGCGTTTGGTGATTCCTCAGAAGGTTAAACACAGACAATACGATTTATTATTCCTAGGTACACACCCAGAGGAATTGAAGGCAGGGGCTCCTATATTTACACCCGCCTGTTGATAGTTGCCTTATTCACAACAGCCAAAAGGTGAAAACAACCCAAATGTCCATCAAGAGATGAATGTGTAAAGTGTTGCATATTCATACAGTAGAGTATTATTCAGCCTTAAAAGGGGAAATTCTGACACAAGCTACCCCGTGGATGAAACTTACATTGTGTAGAGCAAATAATCCAGTACCAAGAGGACCTAGAAGAGTCAAATCCACAGAGACAAGAAGTAGGGTGAGGCCAGGGCCTGGGGGAGGGGAGGGGAGTTGGTTAATGGGTCCTGAGCTTCTGTGGGATGATAAGAGTGTTTTAGAGATGATGGTGATGATGGTCACACAACACCATGAATGTACTTAATGCCAATTAATGTACACTTAAAATGGCAAATTTTATATTATGTATGAGTTTGAGTAAACTCCAGGAGACAGTGAAGGACAGGGAACCCTGGCATGTTGCAGGGCAAGGAGCTGCAAGCAGTTGGACGTGACTTAGTGACTGAGCAACAAACAACAACATGTCATAGGTGGATGGAAAAAACCGAGATCCCCTATGGTTTCCACGCTTTAAATGCTCCAGTAACTTGTGCCCCAAATTCACAGGAAGCCCTGACTCCTCCCCTCATCCGACCTTGCCCACCGTGTCCTGCCGCCTCTTGCAGGTGCCCCAGCCATACCAGGCACCTCCAGACCCTTCAAGGGCCATGTTCATGCCTGCTACAGGGCCTTTGCACCTGCTGCTTCCTGAGCGGAAGGCTGCCTCCTCCATGTCCTTCATCTCAATGCACGCTTCCCCACCCCACACACAGCGCTGTGCTGCTCCCCCACATGGCCCGGGTGCAGTGAGCTCCAAGGGGGCCTCTCTCTTCCTTGGCGGCGTCAGATCCCCAGGGCCCAGCGAGGAATGCCTCAGGGTGCATCAGAATTTGCTAGAAGGCAGACAGGAAGGCCGGAAGGAGGGTGGGAGGGAAGAGGAATCAGGCAAGAAGAGGGGTTTCTGTGAAGATGGGAGGGGCGTCCTGTCTCCTGCAGCCCTGGGCAGGGCTAAGGGGGTGGGCACAGCCCTCCAAGGGGGGCCGCTCTGGGGACAGGGTCTCCCGGGGGCCCTGATCTGCCCCTCCCCTGCTTCCCCCGGCCCTAGGCCTTCCAGACCCCGTCTGGTCTGAGAAGCGGGGGTTTCCATTCTGTGGAGCAGAAGTCTGCAGCCCCAGCCAGCCGGCCAGGCCCTGAGCAGGCCTAGTGTCAGCCAGGCATTTGAGCCCCCAGGCTGGGCCCCACCGTCCAGACCCTCGGAGCGCGGTGCAGAGCAGGGCAGAGCGCCAGCACTCAGCACATGCCTGAGACTTGATGCCTCCCGGCACCCACGGCCCTGGCCTCTCGCTGCTGTGGTGGAGGGCAGGTGGGCAGGCAGGGCTGAGCGGAGAAGGGCCCCAGCCTTGGTGATGACCACTTCCCGGGGCTTCCGACAAGGCCAGGGGACTGGCCAGGGCAGCCGGCTCCGGGCTCTGTCTGGGGGGGTCTCTTCTGTGGGTGGGATCGGGGCCACCTGAGGCCCGCGGGCTGAGCGTGGGGCAGGGCGTGCCCGGGGCAGGCCAGGTCTCTGGCACATCCTCAGCCTCCCCGAGCCCCGGGAGGCCTGGCCCCGGCCCCCTTCCCGGCAGGGCTCACCCCGCTTCCTTGTTCTTCTGTTCTCAGCTCTCTCAACTGTGAAGGGGCAAACTCGCTGAGCAAACAGGCTGGGCTCTGTGGCCTACATCCGGGATGTCTCAATCCCGCGACCCCGCCCATGGCGACCCTGCCCAAGGATGCTGATGACGTGGGGGGGGGCACGGGGCAGGTCGGGCTCACTCTTCCGGTGCATTTATCGAGTGCCTACTGCGTGCCAGCCGTGAGCAGATGCGCCAGGGCCCGGCTACGTGGAACACTCCTTCCGGGGTGGGGCGGGGTGGGGGCTGCAGGGGATAACCTCGAAGCTTGAAGAGAATGACCTCGTGCGCCCAGGCGCTCAGCTGCTCCCACGTGGTGGGGGTGGGGGCCAGCGGCTGCCCTGAGTGGCTGCAGGATTCTGGCCACGCAGGACGGCCAGAGGGGTGTGCTAGCTCTGATGGTGCCTAGCTGGGCTCAGGCTTGGGGGCGCAGACTGAGAGCCAGGCCTTCGGGGAGCCGGGAGAAGGTTGGGCACGGAGGCTCAGGCCTGGGGCCATATTCCCGCTTCCTTCCTTCCAAGGGTCCGCAGTGTGCCCCCCCCCACACACAAGGGACCAGGCGCAGAGCCCCGTGTTTGCAGGGCGGCGGGGCGCAGCCACAGCCTGAGGCCACAGGGGTGGTGGGGGCCCCCGCGCACCCCCAGGCTGGTCCTGTGGGGCCCCCGCCCAGCCCTCCCCCAGAAGCCCCTCCAGCTGTGCTCTCTGCTGCCGGGGCCCCTGGGTCCCTGCGGGAGCACTTTGGAGACCAGGCAGCCCCAGCCGCAGCCCCAGACAGTGAGCATGGGGAAGGGGTGGTGGGAGGGCAGCCTGAGCTCCCGCTGAGACCCAGCGCCCAGGTCAGCAGGAGGGCCCCCCCCAACTCTTGCTGGTGCCGGAGACACTCTGGAGACACCAGGAGCCAAAAGGAGAAGCGGGGCCTGCGGGCCCTTGGCCAAGCTGGGGGCGGCGGGGTGACGTTGGCCAAAGACACCCAGAGCTTTAAGGGGGGTTTTCCCTTTGCCCCAGAAATTCCACGTCTACGGACTCATCGGGAAGATGAAGGTGGGGTGGCTGAGGGGAGTGGGTCCCAGGTGCTGAGTGTTCCCCATGCAAACCTGGAAACCAATCCCCCGCCAGCAGGCGGGTCAGGCACCCCAGGCCTTCTGCGTTCAGACACCTCAGGTGCGGGGAGCCCAGCAGCGGGAAGAGCCGGAGGAGGAGACCCGGGGAGAGGGGCGTGGCGGGGCTGGAAGCAGGGCGCTGCGGGGCGGGGGCCACCATTGAGCCCCCCACCAGCACCAGCCACACTGGCCCGGGGAGCTGGGCCTTCGGGCTCTCATCTGGGGGCTCTGGGGACTGGAGACCCTGGGCCCCACTGTGCCCTGTCAGCCCTGCTGGGGGCCAAGCGCACGTCCCTGGGTACGTGAGTCGCTGCTCAGCCTGTTGCTCGTGCCCTGCCCCACTGCAGACGGGGCTGCAAGGCCCCGAGGATGGACACCTGGCCAGCACCTGGGGATTGGCACCTGGCCAAGGCAGGGCCGGGGGCTCCTGGCCTGCATTCTGTTTGACCCTCACCTCACTCCCAAGGCCAGTTTCCCCTTGAATTTGAACTTGGTGATGGAGAGGAGCCCAGAGACCTGGACGGGTCCTGCTGGCATGGCTGGGGCCTCTGAGACCCCTGCGAGCCTGGGGCTGGCATCACCCCCCCCTATGGCCCCTGCACTCCTGAGGGGAGCAGACGTCTGGCCCTTTCCGGGGCTGAGCAACGGCCTTGCAGTGCCCCCCCACACCCCGCAGGAGCAGCGCCCCCATGGCCTCCTCCTCTCCACAGGGGCGCTGCCCCGGGCCCAGGGTCTGCCCTCACCCTGCCCGCCGCCCTATCGAGAGCGGGCGCGGCAGCAGCGGGCCTGGGTGGTCACAGCGACTCTGCTTCGGGGGGGCTCTGCCTGCCCCGCCCCCTTCCTTCTGATTCAGATGCTGCTGGGGGGGTAGGGCGGGGAAAAGTGGGGGGGGGGGTCCTGCGTCTCTGGGGCCCAGAACCACAAACCCTTCCTCCTCCGGGCTTGTGCGTGCCATGGCCCTCCCCAAGAGCAAACACACGCGGCTGTTGTCGGGGATGACGGTGCCCTGCGTGGCCTGGGAGCCGGGCTCGGGGCCAAGGCCTCCTGCTACATAAGCCCCAGGGCCCCCAGGGGAGTGAGCATCGCGCCCCACTCCCTCTGGCCGCCTTCCCACTGCCGCGCCAGCCCCAGGATGGGTGCCCCGAGCGGGTGCCCAGCGCTGCTGTGGGCCCTTGTGGCCCTGCTCTCGGCGGGCATGGCAGGTAAGGGTGCAGCCCCTCACGTTCCCTGCACAGCAGGGGCGGCCTCCGCAGGCCCGTAGTGGACAGCGAGTCCGCCGCGGGCCCTGTGTGTCATGGACTCCTGGGCAGCCTGAGCTGGGAGAAGTTAGGACCTCAGGGGGACCCGAGGGTCTCGGTTTCGGGGATGGGAGGGGCTGGCGCTGGGTAAGGGGCCCAGGCCAGGGGTCCCTCTGGTCCCTGTGAGGCTCCCCCCCCACCACCGCGGCGGAGCTGAGCGGGCAGAGTCAGCACAGGTGCCCATGGGGGGCTGCATTTCCCACTCCGCCCTTGGGGCTGGCCCAGGCAGTGGCCTCCAGGCAGCCCCATCAGACACTCAGCTGTTCCTGGAGCCACACCCGCCCTGTGGCCTTTCTTGCCCTCCTCACCTGCAGCCGCCCGTCCAGCCCTGGAGCTGGGGAAGCACCAAGAGCCCTAACACTCACTGTCCACATGAGGGGTGCTGCCCCGGCCGGAGGCGACACCCAGCAAGGCTGGCCTGGGCCCCACGGCCACTCCTGCCGACCCTCTGCAGCGCCTGGCCCCAGGCTCTGGGGTCTGGGCAGGCGGGCACCGCCCGAGGCCCTCTCCACCGATGGAAAGGAGGTGGTGAAGGGGTGCGGAGATAGTCTGGTAGAGCCTCTTCCCGAGGCCGCCTTTCTTGGAGGGCGGGCAGGCCTGGGCTGGGGGCTGAACCACGGCGACTCCTGGTGAGGGTACCAGATGCTGCCTGGCATCTGCTGTGTGGTTCGGGTGCCTGGCCGGCCTGTCTGGCCAGCCGTGGCCCTGCTCAGCCCTGGGGCAGCACGCCTGCCGTGAGCCCACTCCCCTTCTCCTATTGGGGGCAAGTCCCTCGAATGGGGCTCCTTCCCGCCAGAAGGAGACGCTCACCATGGCAGCTGTGACGTGGGAGAGGCTGCAGGGAGATCTTAGTTCCTTGAGGACCTGGATCTGGGTGGCCTGGAAGAGAAGCAGGAATCCTGGCCACGGGTCCACCAGGGCCTCGAGGCTGGAAGCAAAATCCTCTCAGCCCTTGCCTCCAGTGAAAAATGCATTTCTCAAGGAGGCGAAAACTGTAAATGAAAGTAGAGTTTATTGTTAGAGACAGCACAGTGGGAGAGCAGCCAGAGAAATGGTTCGTTTAGTCAAGAGAGAGACCAGGCAGAGGCTCCACACACCCCCACCCGGGAAGGGAGTGGGCGGCCCCGCAGTGAGGCGGGTGTCTCAGCCACGTGTCCCACCCTTTGCGACCCCATGGACTGCAGCCCGCCAGGCTCCCCTCCGTCCGTGGGATTCTCCAGGCAAGAAGGCTGGAGCGGGTTGCCACTCCCTTCTCCAGGGGATCTTCCCAACCCAGGGATCAAACCCGGGTCTCCTGCATTACAGGCAGGTTCTTTACCGTCTGAACCACCAGGGAAAGAGGCGGTTAGGTCATTTACGGAGGGCAGATCTTCCAGGCCTTTGTTCACCTTTGGCCAATTATCCAGTTTCTTTCTCCACACCCTTAACTGCCCCAGGACCCTTCCCGACACGCGTGCACAACTTTCCTCCAAGACAGATTTGAGTCGAGGTCTAGGGACAGAGTGGCATCACCCTTGGTGGGGGCTCCCCTCTGGTAGGGGGCGCCCCTCCTCTTTCACCCTCAAGGAGCCTTTCTGCACGTGTGCAAATGTCTTGCTTGCCCCGAGGGTGGGAAATATGTGACCCCTGATCTTTCAGTCAGACGGGGCTCGGCCCCTCTCTCCCTGCGACGACTGTTTCACAGTGTCCTCAGGACACAAAGCCTGTTCCTATTGTTAATCCATCTCCGATGCAGACAGGAGGCTGCCAGAAATGTCAGCCTGGATCCCGTGTATCCATCGCCTCGCACTGGTGTCCCCTGGGCTGAGCCCCCTTGGGGTGGGGGGTGAGGTTTGCCCTGAGTGGAGGGGCTTCCCGTCGGGGGATGTGTGCCCAGATGGCAGTAGATGGGGTGGTTGGTGGAGGGCATCTCCCTGGCCGAGCTCTGGACCAGCTAGGTTCACAGTGATCACCTGGCCCTGGATGGCCCCGGAAGGGGTGCCGTGGGAGCCTGTCCATGTGAACGCCCTGGTTTCTTGACCAGGGGCTGGGTAAAACAATGGGCACATGTGGGAGAGGCCACAGGCCTGGGGTCAGCGCCAGGGGTCAGGGTGGGCAGGGAGAAGTGCGGTCAACAGGGCCCTGAGGAGGAGAGAGAAACGCCGGGCCAGTGCCCACGGCCTCCGGGTCAGCGTCCCGGCCAGAAGGTCGCATGGGGAGCCAAGCCTGGCGCAGCGGCTGCGGAGCCGGGCAGCACCCCTCCAGGGACACGCGGCCCCCCGGGCCTCACCTCCGTCTGCCCACGCGGGGCAGGCTGGGTGGAGGCGGGGAGCCCTACGAACGCGAGGAAGGAATTCCGAGCCTGTGTGTGCGGCATGCCCCCGGCCAAGCCTCACAGAGAGGGGCCTGGAGGGGGCTCAGTCTTGCCCCCTGAGGTGGCAGGGGCACCTGGACCCGGGAGGGGCACCCCCGGTGGTGGGGGACACAGGGTGGCCTTGGGCCCCCAGGCCTCCTGCCTGCCCAGGGCTGGGGGCTCGAAGGCGGAGCTGGCTGTAGTCTTGGGTTTCTGCTAAGTCACGCCCGGAAGCCTCTCCAACCTGTGTGTCCTCCCCACAAAGCCAGGCTTTGTCCTTCTCCGAGGGGTGTGTGGAGGGGGCCAGACGCGCTCCCTGGGGGTGGCCTGGGGTCAGTGAGCCAACACCATTTCCTGATTCCTCCTACCCCAGCACAGTGAGGTGTGTAGATGGGGGGGGGGGGGTGGTCAGCTCCGGGCACAGGGCGCGCCTCCCATGGCTGCCAGCCTGCAGCCTCGGAGACCCTGCCACCCCGGGGCAGGGTCCTGGCGGCCAGCTTCTCATGGACTCCCGCTCCCCTTCCTTGCAGAGACCCAGGACGGCGGGCAGCAGAGCGGGACGAGTCAGCGGCCTGAGATGACTGGTCAGAGGGTGGGCGCGGCAGGGAGGGCGCGCACAGGGCCAGCAGGGGGTCCCCTTTCCACATTGGCTTCATGCCACAGAGCACCCCCCGCCCCGGAGCCGTCTGCCCACAGGAAGGGGCAGCAGAGGGGCCTGAGGAAACAGATGCTGAGCAGAGAGGCTCAGACACGCTCACACACATGCGTGTGCGTGCGTTTGCCCACCCACGCTCTCACATGCTCACACACACACACACACACACACACACACACACGCAGGGACACACAGACCCAGGCAGGAGCATGTCGTTGGCAGATGGGGAGCATCCTAGAGGAGCAGCGTGCGTCCTGGGCTCCCTCGGCTGGGCGAGGCTGGCCTGTGGCCCCCTGCTGCCCCACGGTGGCCAGTGAGGAGGGCGAGGGCCCTGGGAGGGGGCACAGTGGCTGCTCCCCGCCCGACCACATTCCCGGTGTGACCTGGCTCCCTCCACAGCCCGGCACCTGACCTTCATCCCGCCCGTCACTGTCTTCCCCACCATGAGCCGTAAGTGGACACCGCCCGTGGCCCACAGGGGTGGGGGTGTTTGCCAGCCCCTGGGGTGGTCACAGACCTGGGGATAAAGCTGAGACCACGTGGGCAGCTGGGCTGCTAGCTGGCCTTGGGAGCCTGCCCTGGGCACGGTTCTTGGGGACCGGCCCAGGTGCTTGGGCAAGGCCCTCAGGGCTGGGCAGGGGCGAGAATCCGGGGCAGAGGAGAGCGAGGAAGGGGGCAGTGGGTACCCACCCCACATGGGGGCCTGGCCCCAGGGAAGGCCGCCCCCCACCACCGCACACTCCCCACAGCCTTGAACGCAGCCCACGGCGGGCGGGTGTGCAGCACGTGGGGCGACTTCCACTACAAGACCTTCGACGGCGATGTCTTCCGCTTCCCCGGGTTGTGCAACTATGTCTTCTCTGCGCACTGCGGCTCCGCCTACGAGGACTTCAACCTGCAGCTCCGCCGTGGCCTGCTGGGCTCCAGACCCACCATCACCCACATTGTCCTCAGATCACAGGGGCTCGTGCTGGAGGTCTCCAACAGCTCGGTCCTCATCAACGGGTGGCGGTGAGCGCAGCCGGGGCGCAGAGGGGCCGGGCTCCAAGGTAGACAGGGGTCGGGGCTGGTGGGGAGGGGGCTGGACACGTGGGAGCAGCGGACTCTTGCCCAGGGAGGAGCTGCCCTACAGCCGCGCCGGCCTCCTGGTGGAGAGGAGCAGCGCCTACGTCAAGATCAACGTCCGGCTGATGCTGACCTTCATGTGGAACGGAGAGGACAGCGCCCTGGTGAGGGTGCCCCACGCCCTCCCGCCGGGGGCGACCCCAGGGGCTGGGTGGGTGGGGCTGGCGGAGACTGGAGCTGCCCCTCCCTTGCCCCCAGCTGGAGCTGGACCCCAAGTATGCCAACCAGACCTGCGGCCTGTGCGGTGACTTCAATGGGCTCCGGGCCGTCAGTGAGTTCTACGCCCACAGTGAGTGCCCCGGGTCCAGGTGCAGTAGGTGGCTGACCCCAGCACGGTCCCCGGGTAGCTGGGGGTGCAGGGGTGGGTCTCACTGGGCCGCTGGGCAGGGGTCAAGTCAGTAGTGTCAACAGTTCCACTGATGCCCCAGAGGGAGGTTTCGGGCGGGCGGAGGTCCTGAGCATGGAAGGGAGCTCTGCCCCCAGAGCCCCTCAGGATCTGCAAGGAGGGCCTGCTCTCTGCAGATGCCAGGCTGAGCCCGCTACAGTTCGGGAACCTGCAGAAGCTGGACGGGCCCACGGAGCAGTGCCAGGACCCCCTGCCCTCCCCCGCTGCTGACAACTGCACAGACGAGGTGAGGGCCTGCCTGCGCCCCACCCCAGACACAGACTCACCAAGAGGGGCACTCAGGGAGCCAGGCAAAAGCCCTTCCAATGAGCCGGGCGGATCTCACCTCCGGAAGTGGCCTAGAGGCTCCAGGATCCTTGAAACCAGTGGAACCCAGCAGCCGTAAATGAGGCCCTGAAACCGGTCAGGGGTGGGGGCTGAAGAAGGAGGGTGGTTATTAGCAGGTCAGCGCTGACCCTGCTGGGGCTGCCAAAGGGGCGGGGGGGGGGGGGGGGCCCCTCCGCCACCCCTTCTCTGCAGGGTGGGGTCTGCACCCTTCCCGGGCAGGTGTGTCCTGCAGCCCAATGGGAGTGGGGGGTCCAGGATCGTGGGTCCCCAAGCTGACTCCACCCCAAGCATGGCAAGCTGTCAGGGTTGAGAAGGATAGGGGGGTAGGTGGGCAGCTGGCCGATTGGATGAAGGCCTGGATGGACAGACAGGGCAGTGGAAGGAGAGGTGGGTGGAGGAACGGATGAGAGGATGGACAGTGAGGGATGACAGGTGGCTGGCTGATTGAAAGGGACCTCGGGGGAGGGGGCTCCCTGGTCTGGGAGAGGCTGCAGGGCTGGGGTCCCCGCATAAGCCCGCAGGGAGGACACAGCCTCCATCCTGTCTCCCAGGAGGGCGTCTGCCGCCGCACCCTGCTGGGCCCCGCCTTCGCTCCCTGCCACGGGCTGGTGGACGCCGAGGTGTACGTGGCTGCCTGCACCCAGGACCTGTGCCGCTGCCCCTCCTGCCCCTGTGCCACCTTCGCTGAGTACTCCCGCCAGTGCGCCCACGCGGGGGGGCAGCCGCAGAACTGGAGGGGCCCCGACCTCTGCCGTGAGTGCCCCGGGGAGGGTGGGGGGAGGTGGCCCCAGGCAGGACGCCTGGCCCCTGCCTGGGGACCCTGGGCAGGAGGGGCCCCGACCTCTGCTGTGAGTGCCCTGGGGAGGGTGGGGGCAAGGCGACCCTGGGCAGGATGCCTGGCCCCTGCCTGGGGACCCCGTGCAGGCAGAGGCCCTTGGGGGCCCACAGCGAGAGGATGGCAGGAGAGCAGGGGGTGGTGCAAGGCCCGTGCATCCGGGGGCCCACAGGGAGGGCCTGGCACATTGAGCAGGGCTCCCCCTGAACCCAGGTGGGGGCTGGAGGCTGTCCCCAGGGGCATGGGCCCCACGCTCCCCTCCCCTCCCACCTCACCCAGAAGACAACTAGATGGGAAAGAAGCCCTCATTTCCTGGACCCTTGGTGGCACATGGCGGGCGGGGGCAGGGGTGGCTTCCTGGGCCAAGCGCTGCCTCCCCCTGCAGCCCAGACATGCCCCCTGAACACTCAGCACCAGGAGTGCGGCTCGCCCTGCGTGGACACCTGCTCCAACTCTGAGCGCTCCCAGCTGTGCGAGGACCACTGCGTGGACGGCTGCTTCTGCCCCCCAGGCAGGTGCTCCGGGCCCTCGGGGATGGCCCTCCGACGGCCTCTGCCCCCGCCCCGTGTCTGCCTCCCATCAGTGTCTCTCACACCTGCCCCCAGCCCCCGCTGAGAGCTCGTGCCCCACCCCTGCTGCCCCCTAGACACGGTGCTGGACGACGTCACCCACACTGGCTGCCTGCCCCTGCGACAGTGCCCTTGCACCCACGGCGGCCGCATCTACGACCCTGGGGCCTCCTTCAACACCAGCTGCAGCTCCTGGTAGGTCCTGGCCCCGCCCAGGCCCCGCCCCACGGCCAGCCTCGGCCCCGCCCCACCCAGGCCCCGCCCCGGGGCCAGCCCCGGCCCCGCCCCGGCCCTGCCCTCGCCGGGATGGGGCTCACCACCCCTCCCCACACCCCCTCTGCTACCCCTTCCCCCAGCACCTGCTCCGGGGGACTTTGGCAGTGCCAGGACCTCCCATGCCCGGGCACCTGCTCCATCCAGGGCGGGTCTCACATCTCCACCTACGACGAGAAACTCTACGACGTACACGGGGACTGCAGTTACGTCCTCACCAAGGTGAGCCCCGCCTGCCGGGCCTCCCGGGGCCTTCGGCCCCCCCGTTGCCCCAGGGAGGGTCCCCTGATGCCGTTAGAGTGGTGAAGCCCCCGGGGTTCCATTCCCAGAAGAAGCTTACGCTCGTGGGGCCCGGAGACAAGTGGTCCCGAGGTGACCGCGTGTGAGGTCCCCACCCCCGCAGGGGCCTCCTGGGCACGGGGCTCCCTGCCCTGTGGGGGGCTGACCACTCAGCACATGGGGTGTCCTGCCCCGTCAGGTATGTGCAGACAGTGCGCTCGCCGTCCTGGCCGAGCTGCGCAAGTGCGGCCTGACGGACAACGAGAACTGCCTCAAAGCGGTGACGCTGAGCTTGAACGGAGGGGACACGGTGAGACCTTGGCAGCGGGCTGGGAGGAGTTGGGGCAGGCAGGGCCCCCCGGGGCGCCAGGCTGGCTCCTCCCCTCGCTGACCACAGCCCCGCTTCCTCTGGCCAGACCGTCCAGATCCAGGCCAACGGCGGGGTGTTCGTGAACTCCATCTACACCCAGCTGCCCGTGTCTGTGGGTACGTGGCCCTGGGGGAGCCCTGTGAGGCCTGGCGGGGCCTCCAAGTGTCGGCACAGAGCCGGCCCGGCCCCTCCCAGGTCTTTGCGGTTCTCGCCTGCATGGGGGGGCGCCGCATGGCGGCTCTGTGGGGACCCGCGTAGCACCCTCTCAGTGCCTGGCCCCGCAGGAGGGTCAGCGGTCACGGTCACATGCACACGCGAGCTCCTGCCTGGCTCCTGGGCCCTGGAGGGCTGGCCGGGGCTCCTGCCAGGCGGCCCTGGGACCCAAGACTCAGGCTGGTCAGCACCAGCCCTGATCTCTGACCGCCTCTGACCGCCCCCCACCCCTGCAGCTGGCGTCACGGTCTTCAGGCCGTCGTCCTTCTTCATCCTGGTGCAGATGGGCCGCTGGCTGCAGCTGCAGGTGCAGCTGGTGCCCCTCATGCAGGTGTTCCTCTGGCTGGACCCCGCCTACCGCGGCCAGATGTGCGGTGAGGCTGGTGGGAGGGCTGGGAGCGGATGGGCCGTCAGGGCAGGGACGCGGCCTGGGAGGCAGCTGTTCCCGGGATGGCGGGGACCCTGGCCCAGGACAGTGGCTGGGAGGGTGGAGCGCAGGGCACACCGCCCTCATGGCAGGCTTCGTGTGGGGGCTGACCTCACCCCTCCACCAGAGGTCATCTGCAGATAGTGCTGGAACCTACCTCCCAGGACTCTGGTTGGGTGCGGTCACCTTGTGGTGGTCCCTGCAGGTGTGGAGAGCCTGGGCCAGACTGGGCAGCCCCCTGATTCCCACACTCCCATCACCACCCCCAGGCCTGTGTGGGAACTTCAACCAGAACCAGGCTGACGACTTCCGGACGGTCGGCGGCGTGGTGGAGGCCACGGCCGCGGCCTTCGCCAACACCTGGAAGACCCAGGCCTCCTGCCCCAATGTCAAGAACAGTTTTGAAGACCCCTGCTCCCTCAGCGTGGAGAATGGTACCCCCAGCCCGGGGCTCTCGGCTTACCCCGGGTCTGGGCCTGGGAGCTGTGAGGCTGGGGCTGAGGGGTGACCAGGCAGGGGGATGCAGGGTCCCCTGCAGGCTGGGGGCCCATCCCCGGGAAGGCGCCTGCTGCCCTGTATGCAGGGCCCACTTAGCGTAGCCAGTGAGCCCGTAATCCCAGTTCAGTGTCCCTGGGGGAGTCACTGGCCACAGGGCCTGGGGGCGCCGAGCGGGGCTCGGCGGGTGGGCAGGTGCAGGGGAGGCAGTGTTGGGGGAAGGCCGGTGAGCACTGAGCCGCGCCCATGACCGTCCGCCGCGTGTTCCCCCAGAGAACTATGCCCAGCACTGGTGCTCCCTGCTGACCAACCCTGCCGGGCCCTTCTCGTCCTGCCACTCGGTCCTCAGCCCTGGGCCCTTCCACTCGGTGAGACCCCCAGGCAGCACCCGGGGTGGGGTGGGGTGCCGGGAGCAGGACGGTCCACATCTCTGTGGCCACGGGTCAGGCCCACTCAAGGGCCACGGCCACGGCTGGTGTGTGTGTTGCCTGGGGTGGCCGTGACAAAGGACGGCAGACTGGGTGCGGGGGTGAGGGGTGACAGCTGGAGGCCTCTACCCCGCACCCCAGCCCTGGATCACGGAGCTGGCAGGACCCCAGGACCTTCCTGCCTCTCCAACCTCTGGGGGCCACGAGGCGGCACCACCCCCTGCTCGTCTCCATGAGGACTCAGACCTGTGTGTCTGCGCCTGAAGCTCTCCTAGTGGGGACACCAGGCGTGTTGGTTCAGACCCACCCTAATGACCTCATCTGAGCTTCTGCACACCTGCAAGGAGCCGGTTTCCAACAGGGCCATGTTCACAGGCCCAGGGGCCTGACTGGGACACATTCTTCCCAGGGACACTGCTCCACCCATGACAGTTGGCTCACAGGTCACCTTTTTGGAAGCAAAAGCCCTCATGTGCACATGGCTCTGACCCCTGGGCCTGCATGTCCACGTCTGGAAGACCCAGGCCCGCTTTGGGGGTGCTGTGGGCCTGCCAGCACCCTCCCCCACCCTCCCCCCAGCTTCTGCCTGCAGTCTCCCCCCACCACGCCCCTCATAGGCAGCTCACTGTGACGGATCCAGAGCCCCAGCCGGACACTGTCCTGGCCCCGCACAGGCACCTCCGCCAACCCTGCCCGTGTGCAGCCCGCCTCTCCCATCCCTCAGGGCAGCGCATCCACTCCCCCTGAGCCCCATGGCCTTATGCCCAGCTTGGGGCTGCCCTGTGTCTCCGGCCCAGACGGGGGTCCCAGGAAGGATGGACGGAGAGCAGGGTCCTTGGTGGGCTGGGGTCCCTGACGTCCTGGTGCACGCCCCCCAGAACTGCATGTTTGACACCTGTAACTGTGAGAAGAGTGAGGACTGCATGTGCGCGGCCCTGTCCTCCTACGTCCGGGCCTGTGCCGCCCGAGGCGTGCTGCTCAGCGGCTGGCGGGACGGCGTGTGCAGTGAGTGTCTGCCAGCAGGCTAGATGGGCGTGGGGGGACTGGGCACCCTGGGGCACCCCCCGCCTCATGTCCTCAGCGAGAGCTCAGGCCTCCTCCCCCCAACCAGAGGGGAAGCCAAGCCTTGGGCCACTCCAGCCCCAGTTTGGGCGTGCCCAAGGTGAGCGGGGACAGGCCACCCAGCCGCTGACCTGCGTGTCACCCGCCCACCCCCAGCCAAGTATGCGAGCAGCTGCCCGAAGACCCAGAGCTACGCCCACATGGTGGACAGCTGCCAGCCCACCTGCCGCTCCTTGAGCCAGCCTGACGTCTCCTGTGACGTGGCCTTCGTGCCTGTGGATGGCTGCATCTGCCCGCCGGGCACCTTCCTGGATGATGCGGGTGACTGTGTCCCCGCCGAAGCCTGTCCCTGCTACTTGCGTGGCACGGTGGTGGCTCCGGGGGAGGTCGTTCATGACAACGGCGTGGTGTGGTGAGGGGCTGCTCCCTGATACCACCCTTCCCCACCTGCTTCACACAGAAACACAGGGGGCTCCCTGTGGAGGGCCTTCACCCTGCCCGCCTCTCAGCCCTTCTGAGAGGGACCGCTCCTCTGGCCTGGGGAGGTGTTCTGCAGGTCTGGAGCCCACAGAGGGCACCGTGTGTGCCCTGGAGGGCTGGCCTGGGTGCACCCCTGCCCCGGCCTCCCCACCTCCCCTCCCACACCCCAACCCTACCCTCACCCGAGTCCAGGGGCCTTCCTGGCACCTCAGCTCATTCACTCTGTGCCTTCGAGTTGGGGGTGGGGGTCCTCATAGCAGCCCCGCAGAAGGTGCCCGCCCCTCCCCTCACGACAAGGCCCAGGGCCCGGCCACGGTCTAGGCAGGGTCGGGGGGTGGGGGCAGTGTCCCAGACTGCCCCCCCCTCATCTCTCGTAGCTCGTGTGTGAGCGGGAGGCTGAGCTGTCTGGGGGCCACGGAGCAGAGCATAGGTACGGCCTCCCCTGGACCTCTGCCCTTGGGGCCCCATGCTCCCCCCACGACCAAGGGGAGGGCCGCGGCTGGCCGGGAGACCCTCCCAGCATGGCCGTCTCTGCAGGGTGTGTGGCCCCCATGGTGTTCCTGGATTGCAGCAACGCCTCTGCGGACGCACCGGGGGCTGAGTGCGTGCGAAGCTGCCACACCCTGGACGTGGACTGTGTGAGTCGGCAGAAGGACAGGGCTGTGCTGATGGGGGCCCGGGTGGGCAGCGTTCCCGCCTCTCGGTGTCCCTGAGCCGTGGCCAGAGAAACTGCTGACGGGCACCCACTTGTCCACAGTTCAGCACCCACTGCGTGTCAGGCTGCGTCTGCCCAGTGGGGCTGCTGTCCGACGGGAGCGGAGGCTGCGTGGCCAAGGAGGACTGCCCTTGCCTGCACAACGAGGCTGCCTACAAGCCCGGGGAGGTCATCAAGGTCGACTGTAACACCTGGTGTGTGGAGGGGCCACGGGGGGTGGGTGGTGTCGGCCGACATCATGGGGCGAGCTGGCCCTGGGCGTCTGCTCTTCCCCTGGACAGTGCCCAGGGCCTGGCCTCCTCTGCCTAGCAGATGGCAGGGCCGGTTAAAGCCGCCCCCATGACTGCTGGCCTGCACCCCGGGCACTGAGCATTGTGGAGGGCAGGAGACAAGAGCATGACCCAGAGTGTGGGGTGCGGGACCCCCGGGCCCCGTGCTCCCTGCTTTGTGAACCCCTGGAGCCCTGGGGGGGGGCAGCACCACCTCCCACTTTATGAAAGAAGGGCCGGATCCACGTCCTTGTCACGGCACCGCCTCCCCTTGCCCACAGCACCTGCAGGGGCCGCAGGTGGGAGTGCAGCGACCGGCCCTGCCTGGGCACCTGTGTGGCCTACGGGGACGGCCACTTCCTCACCTTCGACGGCGAGCGCTACGGCTTCGAGGGGAGCTGCGAGTACACGCTGGCACAGGTACGCCGCCCCTCCCCACCCACGGCCATGGCGCCGGTGCTGGGGCCGTGACCGCAACCCTCTCCTCCCCGCCCAGGACTACTGTGCGGGCAGCGCCGCCGCCAACGGGACCTTCCGCATCGTCACCGAGAACGTGCCCTGCGGGACTACGGGCGCCACCTGCTCCAAGGCCGTCAAGATCTTCCTGGGGGTGAGGGAGCCTGGGGACCACCCCTCCCTCTGCAGTTCTGTCAGAGCCCCCGCAGGGGCCTTGGGCCTCCAGACCACAGCCCAGGGTCCTGAAACCCAAGAGAGTCATTCTCTCCTGGTTCTGGGCCTCCCTCCAGAGGCTCCAGGGGACGGTCCTTCCTGCCTCGACCAGCTTCTGGGGCTCCTGGCTTGTGCCCGCATCCCCCCAGTCTCTGCCCCACCCTCACGCGGCCCCTCCTCTGCGTCCTTCCCCCCTCCTGTCCCTGGATCTGGGCCCTCCCTAAATCCAGGATGGTCTCATCTCCAGACCCTTCACTTCATCACATCGAAGACCCTTTGCCCAAACCAGGGCACATTTGAGGACTCTGGGGCTTAGAACTGGACACGTCTTTTGGGGGGGCTTCCATTCAGCCCACCACACCTGGGGATGACCCCTGCTAGCAGAAGGAGGTCAGGGTTCACAGCACAGGGAGTGCAGCTGCTGGCTGGGGGTGGTTCCCACCTGCTCCGAGGTGGGGAGAGGTGTGAGGAAGCAGGGGCCGTGGGGGCTGAGAGGGGGCTGCGTGCTCTCCTGCCGCCCCCCGTGCTCTTCACTGCCCCCTACCACCAACGGCCCCCAAGCTCCCCCTCAGCCTCTCACCTCAAGCTCGAGGATAGTGTTGGGAGGCTGGCTCACTCCTAATGCCAGCCCCGTGCCTCGTGCCCCCAAGCACCCTGGTGCCCGCCTGGGCCACGTTGGGGAGGGGGCTCTGCCGCAGAGCCAGCCCCTCAGCTCCCTGCAAGTGCCACCTCCCCGTGCCCCTCTGCAGAGCTACGAGCTGATCCTGCACGAGGGCACCCACAAGGTGCTGCAGAGGGGGCTGGGCGGAGACCTGCCCTACAGGGTCCGCTACATGGGCATCTACCTGACCGTGGAGACCCACAGTGGTGTGGTCGTGTCCTGGGACCGGAAGACCAGCGTGATCGTCCGGCTGCGCCATGAATACAAGGTGGGGGGCGGCAGGCTGCAGGACCCCCGGGCGGGTGCAGAGCTCTCACTCCTAGATCAGGCCCAGCAGTGCAGTCTGGCAGTTGACGGACTGCTGAGGGCTGGGGGAGGCCAGGCCCATGCCCAGTTCCCAAGGGGCCGTGTCAGTCCCGGGGGGAGGCGCTCTTGGCTCCCTGGTCCCTGCGCTCAGCCGCTCCATGCCCACTGGGCTAAGGCTCTGTGGGGGAAGCAGGCACCTGGCCACCTGGCATCCTGCCCCCTGCACGACCCCTTGTGCAGCCCGCCTTCCTGAAAGCTTGCTGGGTGCTGCCTGAGGGAGTGGGGTGGCCTGCAGCCGTGCCTCCGGGCCAGGCTCTGTGTCTCTCCCTGGCGCCGCCCCATGTGCCCTGTGCTGTCCCTGCAGGGGAGGGTCTGCGGGCTGTGCGGGAACTTTGATGACAACGCTCTCAACGACTTCACCACGCGGAGTCAGTCCGTGGTGGGCGACGTGCTGGAGTTTGGCAACAGCTGGAAATTCTCCCCATCCTGCCCGGATGCTCTGGCCTCCAGGGACCCCTGCACCGCCAACCCGTACCGCAAGTCCTGGGCCCAGAAACAGTGCAGCATCATCAATAGCGCAACCTTCAGCGCCTGCCGGTCTCAGGTGGGCAGGGTGGGGGTGGGACCTGCGTCTGGCCCAAGCTGGCCCTCTGAGAACGGCCTTGACCCCAACCATTGCACAGGGCATGCTGTCTGGCCCTTCCCCCGCATCCCCAGTCCCACCCTGCGTTCCCTGACCACACAGCCTCACCCCCTGGAAATGGGGCTGCAAGCTTCCCGGGCCCTGAGGGTCAGCTCCTGTCCTCCCGCACATTCCCTGAGCTGCCGGCGCCCTGCACAGACAGGAACCTCAGGGCACCTCCAGCCCCAGCCCGGCCCCCGGGAGCAGAGGACCGTGATGGCCTCAGGCCCTTCCCCACGGCCCCTGCTGCTTAGGGACCTCAGGGCACAGTCGCTGACGTGGAGCTTGGGACCCGGGCTGTGCACGGCGATGAGCAGGTGGCCAGTGGGACGGTCTGCCCCGAGGCCGGCCGGCCTGTGTGAGGTCCCGAGGTCCTCCTGGATCGCAGCCCCTTGCCTCCACCTCCCGCCCCCAGCGCTCTGCCCGTTCAGTCAGAAAATCCTCTGTGAACTGACACGGCGGGCTGTGACTCAAGACGGCCCTGCCCGTGGTGGCAAACGCGAGACTTGGGCTCCCCAGGCTCTGCTGCCTGGGAGGGAGGATGGGGAGGGGGCGGCCCCTGGCCCTGAGACAGGACAGCCCACAGCAGGGTCATGGGGAGGGCTGGCCTGCAGCTAAGTGAGGTGCTGAGCAGAGGCAAGGGAAGGATGGTGGGGTGAGGCCAGAGAGGCAACAGGAGACCCGAGGCGGGCACCCAGATGGCAGGTGGGGGCTTGCACATGGGCAGCCGGCCGTCCAGGGGCTGGGGGTTGGCACTTCTCGCTGAGCAGCCCCCGCCCCGCCCCAGGTCGATTCCACCAGGTACTACGAAGCCTGTGTGAGCGATGCCTGTGCCTGCGACTCGGGGGGTGACTGCGAGTGCTTCTGCACGGCTGTGGCCGCCTACGCCCAGGCCTGCCACGATGCCCCGGGTGGGCCTTCACCCCACACTCTGCCCCACCATGTCTCTGCACTGTCTTCATTCCATGGACCCTCATTCCATAAGGACTGCAGCCAGCGGATCAGCCATCTCAGGCCAGGGAGCCCTCATGGCAACTTGGTCATGCCCGCAGAGACCTCACTCCCACTCTGGGCTGTGTGGGGGTCCGGGATGAGGACCTGAGCCTGTCTTTGGGGGCACCCCATGGCTGCTACGCCACGTCACCTGTTCCTTCTGCTCCAGGAGACACCAGTGCCCAGTGGGCTGCACCCAGGGCCGCCCTCACACTCACTGGGGCTCCTCTGGGGGGCATCCTGGGGGAGATGCGGGCCCGGGGCAGTGAGTGGGGTCCCAGGGCCCCTCTTGCACTCGCCCGGAGCTGCTGCCACCTCCTCGTCCGTCTGTCTGCAGGGGAGGGTCTGCGGGCTGTGCGGGAATTTTGACGACAATGCCCTCAACGATTTCACCACACGGAGCCAGTCCGTGGTGGGTGACGTGCTGGAGTTTGGCAACAGCTGGAAATTCTCCCCATCGTGCCCGGACGCTCTGGCCCCCGGAGACCCCTGCACCACCAACCCGCACCGCAAGTCCTGGGCCCAGAAGCAGTGCAGCATTATCAACAGCGCCACCTTCAGCGCCTGCCATGCCCACGTACGTGGGGCGCCTCTGGGCACCTGGGGAGGGAGGGATGGAAGTGGGTCTGGGCTCCGCACCGCCCTCCGGGGCCAGCGGTGGCTGTGCAGGACCCNGGGGTGAGGCCAGAGAGGCAACAGGAGACCCGAGGCGGGCACCCAGATGGCAGGTGGGGGCTTGCACATGGGCAGCCGGCCGTCCAGGGGCTGGGGGTTGGCACTTCTCGCTGAGCAGCCCCCGCCCCGCCCCAGGTCGATTCCACCAGGTACTATGAAGCCTGTGTGAGCGATGCCTGTGCCTGCGACTCGGGGGGTGACTGCGAGTGCTTCTGCACGGCTGTGGCCGCCTACGCCCAGGCCTGCCACGAAGCGGGTGTGTGCGTGTCCTGGCGGACCCCGGACATCTGCCGTGAGTTGGGCTGTCCCTGGTGGTGGGAGGAGGTGCAGCTGCAGCCGCGCGGGGGCCTGGCGGGCATGTGTGCACACACAAGGACATGCGTGTACTACATGCGTGTGCACATGCTCTTGTGTGTAAAAACCACACAGACACATCACCCACAAACGGGAAGGCTCCCTGGGGGACATTTCTGAGGGCAGGGCTGAGAAATAAGACTGGAACTCAGGGGGTGCAGCCTGAGACCCCTCCATTCTGGGAGGGGTGAGCCCAGCAGGCACCCACAGCCTCTCTCCCCCTCGCTCAGCTCTTTTCTGCGACTACTACAACCCGCACGGGGAGTGCGAGTGGCATTACCAGCCCTGCGGGGCCCCCTGTCTGAAGACCTGCCGGAACCCCAGTGGGCTTTGCCTGATGGACCTGCCAGGCCTGGAAGGTGAGGACAGGCTTCTATGGGGAGGCCACACCTCATCACCCCAGGACAGCACACAGGCAAGCGGGTGAGGGGTTCCTGCCACCCCATGTCCGCCCCTGGGACATGAGAGGCAGAGACGGCGGTGCAGTGACAGCTCACACCGCCGGGCCTGAGACGTGAGTCTTCTCCCCGCCCTGCACCCGCCCCAGGCTGCTACCCGAAGTGCCCATCCAGCAAGCCGTTCTTCAACGAGGACCAGATGAAATGCGTGGCCCAGTGCAGCGGCTGCTATGACGAAGACGGGAACTACTATGATGTTGGCAAGAGGGTTCCCACCACGGAGAACTGTCAGAGCTGGTGAGCCAGGGCGGGTGCAGGGCGGGGCCGGGGGGCACACGAGGCTTGTGCCTTGCTGGCTCTTAGCTGTCCTCTCTCCCTCCCCCAGTGACTGCACCTCCAGCGGCCTCCAGTGCACGCACAGCCCCGAGGGTAAGGGGGGCCCGGTTGGTTTGGGGCCGAGGAGCTGGGGCCTCAGACTGAGCCTTGTACTCGTCCGTCTTTAGCCTGTACGTGCACCTATGAGGGCAGGACCTATGCCTACGGGGACGTCATCTACAACACGACCGACGGGCTGGGCGCCTGCCTGATTGCCATGTGCAGAGACAATGGAACCATCGTCCGGAGGGCCATGGAGTGCCCCGGAACCCCATCTACAACGCCCTTCACCTTCACCAGCACGGCAGCTCCGCCCTCCACCACGGGTGAGCCTGGTGGGCACACCTCTGGTCCTGCCTTGCCCCCAGGGCCCTGGACCCTGACAGTGGTCTGGGTGCTGAGGGAGGGCCCAGGAAGTGCCTGGTGCAACTGTCCTGGGTGCAAAGGATGGTTCGGGGCCAACCCTGGAGCAGGGGACACGAGTCACCCCTCCTCTGGGCGTGGCTGGCTAGGATGCAGAGGGGACTGACGGGGACCCCTGCCCTCTGCCCACAGGCTTGGTCCCCACCCTGTCCACTGTGTGTGTGTGGAAGGTCTGCCACTGGTCCGACTGGTATGATGGAGGCCATCCAGAGCCAGACATGAGCGGGGGAGACTTTGAAACATTCGAGAACCTGAGGCAGAGGGGCTACCAGGTCTGCCTGGCCCCCGCAGACATTGAGTGCCAGGCACAGCTCTTCCCAGGCATGCCCCTGGAGAAGCTGGGCCAGAAGGTGGAGTGTAGCCGGGGCAAGGGGTTGACTTGCCTCAACAGCGAGCAGAGCCCCCCACTCTGTCTCAACTATGAGCTGAGGGTCCTCTGCTGTGACTATGTGCCCTGTGGCACCAGCCAGCCTCCATCCTCCCAGACACCGGCCACCTCCACCCAGACCACATCCGCTCTAGGAACCACCCACCCGACCACGGCAGTGCCCACCTCGCAGACCCCATCCACCAAGCTTACCACAGCCACGACCCCAGAGGGCAGCAGCTCTGCGTTCCCAGCCACCACCACCTGTGAGCCTCACTGTCGCTGGACAGAGTGGTTCGACGTGGACTACCCGAAGTACGAGGAGGCTGGGGGCGACTTCGAGACCTACGAGAAGATCAGGGGCGCGGGCGGGGCTGTGTGCGAGCAGCCCCAAGATATAGAGTGTGAGGCTGAGAACTACCCTGGCCAGAAACCAGAGGAGGTGGGCCAGCGAGTGCACTGCGACGTCCGCTTCGGCCTGGTCTGCAGGAACGACGAGCAACTGGGCCTGTTCAAGATGTGCTACAACTACAGAATGCGTGTGCTGTGCTGTAGGTACAACCGCTGCAGCGTGCCCACGTCCACCACGTCCCCCACGGCCACGGCCTCCCCCTCCACAGCCACCGCTGCTACAGCCACCACTGCGACCGTGCCCACGGCCACCCCCTCCACAGCCACTGCCACCACTGCGACCGTGCCCACGGCCACCACTGCGACCGTGCCCACGGCCACCCCCTCCACAGCCACTGCCACCACTGCGACCGTGCCCACGGCCACCCCCTCCATAGTCACTGCCACCACTGCGACCGTGCCCACGGCCACCCCCTCCACAGTCACTGCCACCACTGCGACCGTGCCCACGGCCACCCCCTCCACAGTCACTGCCACCACTGCGACCGTGCCCACGGCCACCCCCTCCACAGTCACTGCCACCACTGCGACCGTGCCCACGGCCACCCCCTCCACAGTCACTGCCACCACTGCGACCGTGCCCACGGCCACCCCCTCCACAGTCACTGCCACCACTGCGACCGTGCCCACGGCCACCCCCTCCACAGTCACTGCCACCACTGCGACCGTGCCCACGGCCACCCCCTCCACAGTCACTGCCACCACTGCGACCGTGCCCACGGCCACCCCCTCCACAGTCACTGCCACCACTGCGACCGTGCCCACGGCCACCCCCTCCACAGTCACTGCCACCACTGCGACCGTGCCCACGGCCACCCCCTCCATAGTCACTGCCACCACTGCGACAGTGCCCACGGCCACCATCTACACTGGCACAGCCCCCACTGCCTCTACGGCCTCCAGCACCACCTCCACTGCTGTGCCAACAACCACACAGTCCAGAACACAGGTGGGGAGCACAGTGGTTACCGGGCCCCCTGCCAGCAGTGCCACACCAGTGCCTGCCCTTTCCACGGGACTCACGACCCGAGTGACACACTCGAGTCCAGGCCACACAGGCACACCCCCAACATCTCCTCCAGGATCCACAGGGCCCACCACCCCGGGGACAGCCACGTCGGTCCTCCCGACTCACAAACCCTCACAGGAGCCCACCTCGGTGTTGACAACGACTCAAACCTCCACAGCTCGGCCGCCGACAGAAACAGCCCTGAGCACAACAGGCACCCCTCCCACCAGCATGCTGCCCACCCAGCTCACCAAGACTGGCACCCCAGCCCTGACTATGGCCACCACTGGGGCCTCCACCAGCCAGGGCACGACCAGCTGTGAACGCAAGTGCCAGTGGACAGAGTGGTTTGATGTGGACTTCCCCACCTCGGGGGTCATGGGTGGAGACATAGAGACCTACGACAATATCCGGGCTGCAGGCGGCAAAATGTGCCAGCAGCCAGAGAAGATTGAATGTCGGGCAGAGAACTACCCTGAGGTCAGCATTGACCAGATTGGGCAGGTGCTCAGCTGCAGCCTGGAGACAGGGTTGGTGTGCAGGAACGAGGACCAGAAGGGCCCGTTCACCATGTGCTTCAACTACAACATCCGTGTCTACTGCTGTGATGATGTCCGACACTGCCCCACCACAGCCACCCCAGGCCTCCAGTCCACTTCCGTGCCCCCTAGCAGCTCCACAGCAACGGGGCCATGGACCTCGACCTCCATGACGACCTGGCCCCAAATCTCTTCCTCCATGGTCCTGCCCACGACCCCCAAGCCAACTTTGACTGGTGCCCCCTCCACAGTCACTCTGGTGACTTCCCACATTCTTGAGTCCACCTCTGTGACCAACCTGCCCCCCAGCCCAGTGATGCCCACCACTCAGGCCACCACCCACACCCACTTCCTGCCACCCACAACCTCCAACGGCACTACACAAATCACAGAGCTTCCCATCAGGCCCTCTGAGACCATGACCAGACCCCCAGTCACCACACTCAGCACAGGCCAGGCTACTTCCAGCACAGGGGCAGGCACCAGAACCTCCCTATCCCCTCCATGGCCTCAGCCCAGCACCTCCTCACTGGGCACCTCCCTGGGACCCACCACCACCACCACCACCTCCAGCTCTGTGACCACTTTGTCCTCGCCAAAGACCCACACCTCTGGGACCACCTTGGTCCCCACGCCCCCAGGGACTGAGTCCACAGCCTGTGAGCGTCAGTGTGCCTGGACAGACTGGATGGACCAGAGCTACCCAATGCCAGGGGCTAATGGGGGGGACTTTGAGACCTATGCTAACATCCGGGCGGCCGGTGGGACTATCTGTGAGCAGCCTCTGAGGCTGGAGTGTCGGGCTGAGGAGCTGCCTGACATCACCCTGCAGGACCTGGGCCAGGTGGTAGAGTGCCAGCTAGAGGTGGGCCTGGTGTGCCGGAACCAGGACCAGAGTGGCCAGATGTGCTTCAACTACCAGATCCGCTTGCTCTGCTGTGACAAGAGCCACTGCCCCAGCATGGCCATCACCACCTCCACCCCCACCAGTGTGACAGGACCCTCCTCCACAGCGACCACAGAGAGGACCTCCGCCCCCACCAGTGTGACAGGACCCTCCTCCACAGCGACCACAGAGAGGACCTCCGCCCCCACCAGTGTGACAGGACCCTCCTCCACAGCGACCACAGAGAGGACCTCCGCCCCCACCAGTGTGACAGGACCCTCCTCCACAGCGACCACAGAGAGGACCTCCGCCCCCACCAGTGTGACAGGACCCTCCTCCACAGCGACCACAGAGAGGACCTCCGCCCCCACCAGTGTGACAGGACCCTCCTCCACAGCGACCACAGAGAGGACCTCCGCCCCCACCAGTGTGACAGGACCCTCCTCCACAGCGACCACAGAGAGGACCTCCGCCCCCACCAGTGTGACAGGACCCTCCTCCACAGCGACCACAGAGAGGACCTCCGCCCCCACCAGTGTGACAGGACCCTCCTCCACAGCGACCACAGAGAGGACCTCCGCCCCCACCAGTGTGACAGGACCCTCCTCCACAGCGACCACAGAGAGGACCTCCGCCCCCACCAGTGTGACAGGACCCTCCTCCACAGCGACCTCAGAAAGGGTCTCCACGCCCATCACAGTGACAGGACCTTCCTCCACATCGACCACTGAGAGGGTCTCCACCCCCACCAGTGTGACAGGACCTTCCTCCACAGCGACCACAGAGAAGACCTCCACACCCACCACTGTGACAGGACCCTCCCCCACAGCAACCACCGAGAGGACCTCCACACCCACCACTGTGACAGGACCCCCCTCCAAAGCGACCACTGAGGGGACCTCCACCCTCACCACTGTGACAGTTCCCTTCTCCACAGGGACCACTGAGAGTACCTCCACCCCCATCAGTGTGACAAGACCTTCCTCCACAGCGACCACTGAGAGGACCCTCATCCCCACCAGTGTGACAGGACCTCCCTCCAAAGCGACCACTGAGGGGACATCCACCTCCACTAGTGTGACAGCTCCCTTCTCCATGGGGAGCACTGAGAGGACCTCCACCCCCACGAGTGTGACAGGACCCTCCTCCACAGCAACCTCAGAGAGGGTCTCCACGCCCACGAGTGTGACAGCTCCCTTCTTCACAGCGACCAGCAGGAGGACCTCCACCCCCACCAGTGTGACAGGACCTCCCTCCAAAGCGACCACTGAGGGGACCTCCACCCCCACCAGTGTGACAGCTCCCTTCTCCACGGGTATAACTGAGAGGACCTCCACCCCCACCAGTGTGACAGGACCCTCCTCCAAAGCGACCACTGAGGGGACATCCACCCCCACCAGTGTGACAGCTCCCTCCTCAGGGACCACAGAGAGGGTCTCTACCCCCCCGAGTGGGACAGTACTCTCCTCTACAGCAACCTCAGAAAGGGTCTCCACCCCCACCAGTGTGACAGGACCCTCCTCCACAGCGACCACTGAGAGGACCTCCACCCCCACGAGTGTGACAGGACCCTCCTCCACAGCAACCTCAGAGAGGGTCTCCACGCCCACGAGTGTGACAGCTCCCTTCTTCACAGCGACCAGCAGGAGGACCTCCACCCCCACCAGTGTGACAGGACCTCCCTCCAAAGCGACCACTGAGGGGACCTCCACCCCTACCAGTGTGACAGCTCCCTTCTCCACGGGTATAACTGAGAGGACCTCCACCCCCACCAGTGTGACAGGACCCTCCTCCAAAGTGACCACTGAGGTGACCTCCACCCCCACCAGTGTGACAGGACCCTCCTCCACAGCGACCTCAGAAAGGGTCCCTACCCCCACCAGTGTGACAGCTCCCTCCTCCATGGGGACCACCGAGAGGGTGTCCATCTCTAGTCCCTCTGCCTTCCCGGGGTCCTCACCCATGACCACCAAGCCAGGCTTGTCCATTATCTCTCCCACAGGTCACCTGTTGACCTCCCCCTTATCGACTACTCCTGGGTCTCCACCCACTACCCCGTCCTGGTCCTCAGAGACCTCTGGCAGCCTGATGCCCTCCGTTGTCCCCCCAACCTCATCTGGGCCCACCACGCCCTGCCTTTGTCACGCCTTTGGGAAGTTCTTCCTACCAGGTACGTGAAGTGGCACCCCCTCCTGCAGACCTCCTCCCTGGTTTGGTTACCTTGATTGTATCATACCCTTTTGCCCCACATTGGCTGACCTGTTGTCTCTGACCTTGCAGGGGACATTGTCTACAACAAGACAGATGGGGCAGGCTGCCCCTTCTTAGCCATCTGCAACCAGCACTGTGACCTTGACCGCTTCCAGGGCACCTGCCCTACCTCCTCACCCCCAGGAACCTCAGCCTCTGTGCCCCCAACCACCCCAGTTGTCGGCTGTGATCGCACAATCCCTCCTCGAAAGGTGTGTCTCCCACCTCCACCATGACCTGCCAGGCCTTTCCGTGTGCATGGGGCCCGGGGCACCCGTCAAGGTTGATGGCACACCCCCAGCCCTCAGTGGCCATTCCACGGGTTGCTCTGGCTGGAGGAAAGCACGCGGGGTCCGAGTTCAGCCAGGAGGCAGCGGCTGCCTTGCCCCAGGCTGGAGGGGAGGGTTCCCGAGGCTGAGGTGGGGGCAGTGAGAAGGGGTCCTGCCAGCCCACCCCGTGAGTGCTGTGCTGTCTCTCACAGGTGAATGAGTCCTGGTTCCTGGAGGACTGCACGGTGGCCCGTTGTGAAGGTGACAACCGTATCATCCTGCTGGGACCACGGCCGATGAAGAGCATCACCTGTGTGAACGGGCACCTGCCCGTGAAGGTGCAGAATCAGAGCCATCCCTGTGACTACCACTACGAGTGCGAGTGTGAGTGCCCGCCCTTGGTTCCGGGTGGGGGGAAGGCTGGTGGAATTTGAGACATGCACACACCCCCCATGCCCTAGGCCTGGGGCTCCTGGGCCCATCCCCATCAGGCTTGACAGTTTGAAGGGAACCCAGGGGTTTCTAAGAGCAGGGAGAGTAGGGGTGAAGGTGAGGAGCTCCAAGGGGGTCGCATCCTGAGGGTCCTGAGCAGCTTTCACAACAGAATGGCACGCGGGAGGAGGTGGGTGGTCTTACAGTCCTGAGGGTCCTGGGGTGGCCAAAACAAATGACCCCCCCAGCCAGGCATCTTAAAACAGCAGGAGTTCATTGTCTTGTGGTCCTGGAGGCCAGAAGTCTGAGATCAAGGAGTCAGAGGGACCGTGCTGTCCCCAAAGCTTTAAAGGTGGGGGGTGCTGCCTGGCCCTCCAGACTTGGGGCCCTGGGCGCACCTGGGCTGTGGCCCCATCTCCACCCAGTCATCACGCAGCTTCTTCCCTGTCTCTTAGAAGGACCCTTGTCATTGGATTGAGGGCTTCCCGGTCATCCAGGATGACTCCCCCCACAAGCCTTCACTTAATCACAGCTGTAGAGACCCTCCTTCCCCCAAAAGGAGGTCACGTCACAGGCTCTGAGTGGACACGTCTGGGGGGCCTCCCCATCCAACCGGGTCCACTCGTGTCCTGAAGGAGGGATGGAGGCCCCTGGGGCTGAGCGACCCCCAAGGTGGTAGCTCCTGGTGGCACTGGGTAAGGCTCGTCCACACCTGCAGGCGTCTGCAGTGGCTGGGGGGGCGCCCACTACGAGACCTTCGACGGCACCTCCTACTCCTTCCTGGACAACTGCACCCACGTCCTCGTGCGCGAGATCCAGCCACGCTACGGCAACCTCCGCATTTTGCTGCACAACCGCTTCTGTGAGGCCGCTGCCCACTGCCCCCGCGCTCTGAGCATCCACTACCAGCCCATGGACATCGTCCTCTCCACCTCCACTGGCGCTGGTGGGCAAGAGGAAAGCCTGGTGAGCGCGGGCAGCAGAGCGGCACTGGCCGGTCCTGACCTGGTTAGGGGGGGGACTGGTGCACAGAGATCACGTCCCCCTCCCCTCAGAGAGCAGCTCCTGGGGGCCTCGGGGAAGGCAGAGGGCACACCGGGACCTGGGATCCCGGGCGTGGTGACTCCAGAGAGGGCAGGGAAGGGGCATGAGGGGTGCCTGAGGCCGAGAGCACCCAGGACCCAAACACACCGACCCTGACTCCGGCCCGAGGTGGGCATCTGCTCTTCAGGGCGTGGGTACCAAGGAGGGGGGCCCAGCACTGGGAGGAAAGCCCCAAAGGCAGGCGCGGCCTCTGTCACGTGTTCCCCGGTCATGCCCCCAGATCCTGTTGAACCAAACGCGGGTGAGGCAGAGCTTCAGCAAGAACGGCGTGACCGTGACCCTGACCGGGGCCACCGGAATGCGTGTTGATATTCCCGCCGTCGGTGTCAGCATCACCTTCAACGGGCGGGTCTTCCAGGCCCGGCTCTCGTACAGCCGCTTCAATCACAACACTGAGGGCCAGTGCGGTGAGCGGGAACTGCAGGACGCCTGTGGGGGTGGTGAGGGGCTGGCACCACCACTGTGGGTGCACCGCCCGCTCCCGGGGGGCCCCCCCACACACACCCGGCCCCCGCAGCTGCCCCGGTGGGAAGCCCTGTTTGATAGCTGAGCAGTTGCTGGGAAGGTTGTGGGATGAAGGGAGAAGGCGAAGATGGTCCAGTGTGTGTCCCTCCTCGAACCCCACCCTCCCCAGGCACCTGCACCAACAACCGCAGGGACGAATGTCGCCGGCCCGACGGCACCATGGCCCGCACCTGCCAGGACATGGCCCGGTCCTGGCTGGTCTCCGAGAGCAGTGGGGAGGGCTGCGGGGTGCCCACCGGCCTGCCCATAACCACCAGCCCCCTCTCGCCGGGAGCCAGCACGCCTGCCGTCCAGCCATCGTGCCCCCCAGAGCCCCTCTGCGAGCTGATGCTGAGCCCGTGAGTCCTCCAGCCGGGCTGGGCGGTGGTGGCGGGAGGCGCCATCACCCTGAGGGGCCTCTGCTCCAGCCTCTGACGGGCCCTGCCTGCAGGGTCTTCGCCGGGTGCCACAGCCTCATCCCCCCTGGCCCGTACTTCAACGCCTGTGTCAGTGACAGTTGCTGGCCCGGCCGCGGCCGTGCGGTGCTCTGCCAGAGCCTGGAGGCCTACGCAGAGCTCTGCCGCTCCCGGGGTGTCTGCCCCGACTGGCGCAACGCCACCCACGGGCTGTGCGGTGAGTTGGGCATGGCCGCCGGGGGCCCTGGCCTCCTCGGCCTGCTTGACACCTGTCTGTGTGCCCCCAGACCTCACCTGCCCGCCCTCCAAGGTCTACAAGTCGTGTGGCCCCGTGCAGCCGGAGTCCTGCGACTCCAGGTGAGCCCAGCTGACAGGGAGAGAGCAGCGGGGACAGCGGGCCTCCCAGGCCGGCCCGGAGGACCTGGTGGGGAGCCAGGAGGAGACCCACGAGGCTCCAGGACCCCAGCTCCAGATCTCAGGGGTGCCCTTCCCCAACCCGACCTCCTACCCCGGACCCGAGGTTGACCCCAGGCCTGCACCATGCCCACTGCCCTCCCCCTCAATCTGCCTCTGTCGCCTTGCAGGAGCCAGAGCCCGCTGAGCGTGGGGCTGGCAGAGGGCTGCTTCTGTCCCGAGGGCCACATCCTCTTCAACTCCCACAGGGACATCTGCGTGCCCGAGTGCCGTAAGCACCCCGCGCCAGGCCCGCCCAGCCCTGGAGAGCGGGAGGGACCCGGGGCGGGCAGTCCTGCTGGCGGCACAGCGTGGCCTGGAGCCTTCCTGAGCCCCCTCCTAAGTGACCCCCCTTGAGCTCTCCAGGGGCTTCTACCCAAGCAGGGAGACAAGGCCTCCACTGGGGAGGGGTGGCCAGGCCGGCTGGGCCCCGACCCCGGCGCTCCCACTGACCCCTTTCTCCCCATTCCTGCCTCGCAGCCTGTGTGGGACCGGACGGGCTTCCCAAATTCGTGAGTGCTCTGCCCTCGGCGGCCCGGCTCCTCGCTTGAGCGGGAGGAGGGCGGGCATTCCCCTCCCAGGGCCCCAGCTCTGCCCAGAGTCGGGCGGCAGGGTGGGTGTGGGTGTGGCACACCCAGGTGTGAGCCGCGTCAGCCTCACGGCTGCTCCCGGGACAGGGAGGCTGGGGCCCGACCTGCTGCTGGACGTGACCCCAGAGGCCAGGGCACCAGCCGGGAGCCCTGGGGGACCCTGACCTGGTCTGTTGCAGCCTGGAGAGCGGTGGGTCAGCAACTGCCAGGACTGCGTGTGTGACAAGGGCGCCGTGTCAGTGCAGTGCTCACCTGTGGAGTGCCCGGCCCCAGACCAGCCACAGGAATGCAGCGAGGCCGGCTTCGTGGCCGTGAGCAGGCCTCTGGCGGACAAACCGTGCTGCATGGAGACTCTGTGCGGTGAGATCTGCACCCCAGTGGGCGGGTGGGTGGCCCGGTGCCTGGCACAGGCCACCTGGCCGGCAGGACAGGAGTGCCTCGGGGTCCTGTGGCTGGGCTGAGGCTGGATCCCGAGGTGGGGGGCCTCTTGCTCCTTCACTTTTCCACCTAAAAATGAAGCTGGTGGCCTCTGGTGTCCCTGGTACCAGGCAGGGTCTTGGGGAAGACCGGGGAGGTGACAAAGTGTGGTCCAGAAGGGCCACAGAGAGCCATCAACTCCTGTGGAAAGGACCTCTCTGGTCCAGTGTGGGGCAATGTTACCCTGGGAACCACAGTAGTGGGAGGAGGGGGCAGGGACACCCCAGGCAGCCCCCTGACTCTCCCGCAGTCTGCAATGCAAGCACGTGCCCCCAGAGCCCACCTGCGTGTAGGCCGGGAGAGAAGCTGGTCCGCACCCAGGTGGAGGATGACTGTTGCCCCACCTTCAGCTGCTCGATGCCCTGGTCTGCGCTCAGCCAGGGTCACGTCTGTGATCCCGTGTGAAGAGGAAGGGGACCACTCTGTGGGTCTCACGGGCACAGGGAGGTGCCCTGGCCCCGGTGCCCTCTCAGGGTCGCCTCCCCCCACCCTGTCCACTGCAGGTCGGTGCGACCTTCCAAGGGGTCACTCCATGCCACACGTGCACCTGTCTGTCCACGGATAGCAGGGACCCGACCATGTGGTGTGAGGAGAAGGCGTGCAATACCACCTGCCTCCAGGTGAGGCTGGGCCGGGGCCCTTGGGAGCCCTGTCACCGGATCCTGGACCCCCGGGAGGGCCTCCAGCTCAGCCTTCGCAGAGGCTTTTTCTTCCCAAAGGCTTTTTCTTCCCAAAAGGAGGAAGTGAAGCAGGAGGGTGGGGCACGGGGCCTTGGGTGGGGAGCGGACCTGTAGGCTGCCGGGATCCGTTCCTGGAGGGCTGAACTGGAGAAGGTGCTGGGAGCAGGGCTAAGGCTAAGAGGGGACACTGCGGCTGGGCAGGGGCATGCTTCACAGAGGAAAGGGGATGCCAAGGAGGCTAGCCCTGGGCTCCGGGGTGGGCGGAGAGCAGGGGGGCTGGGTGTGGGACGTGACCACCCCTCTGCCCCAGGGCTTTGAGTACTCCACGGTGGCCGGGCAGTGCTGTGGGGAGTGCGTGCAGACCGCCTGCCTCGCACCGGATGGCCAGCTGGTCCAGGTAAGGGGGCACTCAGTCTCAGCCCCTGCCCTGAAGAGACCCTCCTGGCCAGCTCCTCTCTGCCCACCAGGTAATCCCCAGCCCGGCCCCCACCCATTCTCCCCCTTTCATTCCAGCTCAACGAGACCTGGGTCAACAGCCTAGTGGACAACTGCACGGAGTACCACTGCCAGGCCAGGGACGGACCCCCTATGCTGACCCCAACGCCTGTGGTCTGCCCCGACGTGTCCACCTGCAAGGTGTGTGTCTTGGACTCAGGCTAGCCAGGCTGGCCTCCTGGCACAGAAGCCTGGTCCACATCACAGCCCACACAGACCCATCCCGAGTCCATCACCAGAGACCCCATCCACCCACCAAGGAGCCCCGCCCACTCCAGCCCCGCCCACACCACAGCCCACACCCATCCATTCCCAGAGTTCATTCCCAGAAGGTCCCGACCTCCCACCACGGAGCCCCGCCCATTCCAGCCTCAACCAACCACCACAGAGCCCCGCCCACTCCAGCCCCACCCACCCACCAAGGAGCCCCGCCCACTCTCCAAGGAGCCCTGCCCACCCTCCAAGGAGCCCCGCCCACTCCAGCCCCGCCTCTGCACCCTCCTCCCACAGGGCATCCTCAAGAAAATTGGCTGCTGCTACTCTTGTGTGCAAACGGGTAAGTCGAGGCTCACCTTCCTGCCTCTCAGCGCCCTCAGCTCTGCCCGCTGACTCCCGAAGTTGCCTGACCCCGCTAGAACCCCACCCTGAGCGGGAGGTTATGTGGGTCCTCGGAGACCTGCCCCTACTGCCTTTCCTCTGCGCAGACGCCTGCCAGGTCCACGCCAACATGACGGTCCTTCGACACCGGGGCTGCGTCACCCAGGCCGCCGTCAGGGTCTCTTTCTGCGAGGGCTCTTGCCCGGAAGTGTCCCGGTGAGCCGCCCGTGCCCTCCACCCCCGGCCCAGACACGCGGTCACCACCCAGTGCCCCATGTGACCCTGTCCTTGGAGAGACACCCTGCGCTGGGGCTGAGGCTGGAGGGCCCAGCTTGCGACAGGGAAGAGGGAAGGGCCGTCCAGCAGGCCTGCACAAGTGCTGAATCTCCCCATCCCCCAGAGCCAGGCCTGGGACAGCTGGGGGTGGGGGGCACGGGGGTCAGAGCACCAGGGCTACCACTGGAAGGTCTGCCCGCGTTCGGGGCTGGGCAGAATCAGCGCCTTCCCTGAGCCGGACTGTCAGGGCAGAGCTGCTGGCAGAGTCCACCCCACAGAAACCCAGGCCACGGCCAGCCGTGAGCCCAGGCAGAAAAGGCAGGAGGAAGGGTCCGGACCTGGCTGGATGGCCCAGGGCAGGTTCCGAGGAGGGGTCTGCCATGGTCCGCAAGTTTGAGGAGCTGGTTTGGGAAAGAGGGGCCTGGCTGGGGAAGGCGGGGGTTCTCAGCGGCCCAGAGTGCTGTCCGGGCCAGTACGAGCAGCCCTGAGCGCTCAGGGAACTGGCCACTGTCTCCGGACCCCCGAGAGACCAGGAGCGGGCAGTCCGGGTAGATGGGGAGGTCCTGAGGGCCGTGCGTTTGCAGGTACTCCATGGAGGCGCAGGCTGGGCAGTGCCGCTGCACCTGCTGCCAGGAGACCAGGACCCACCAGGAGGTGGTGACCATGCAGTGCCCCGACGGGACGGCCTTCCAGCACACCTACACCCATGTGGACGAGTGCAGCTGCGTCCCGGCCTGCGCGTCCTCGTCCCAGGTTCTTGAGGATAGCGTGTCCACCTTCCCACTCTTGGGGTCCACCACTGTCTGATGTTCTGGGCCCCCCAGACGCCCCCACCACCATGGAAACCACGGGCGCCCACACACACCTTCCATGGGTACCACTGCCCCCGCCCTCTTTGCACTTGCCCGGTGAAGCCTGGGCCCTGCAGGGTGACAGCGCAGTGGGGGTCGGCTTGAGGAGGACCCCGGGCAGGGGCCTGCCCTCAGAGCCCCTCGTGCCTGTTTGGCCACCTCCCTGGCCATCAGGGTCAGATGACGCTCACCTGGAACACGAGCACATCCAGGCGTTGACCCCAGCCGGTATCAGAAGGATGCCATGGAGAAAACCGCACACCCCCCGCTGTGCTCGGGGTCCCACCGCGGCCTCTGTGCCCCTCAAAGCCCCCGGGGCACAGACCCCCACTGGCTACCTCCTGCAGCGAACCGCAGACTGAGGCCGGGCCAGGCAAGGCCAGCTGCCTCCAGGGAGCTGCGTCAGGCAGGCAGGCTGGGTGCATGCCGGTGTCTGGACCCTGATCTGAGGCTACGAGAGCCAAGGGGCAGGCCAGGGAGGGGTTGGTCCCCACAGCACCTTCTGTGTTCATGCAGCCCCAGTCTTGCAAATAAACGCCAAGCATCACATACACTTCCTAGTCCTGGTGTCTCTTCCCGCCAACTGTGTCCCTGGGCTCTCCCCACCATCCGGGGGCAGGGCTGTCCCCGAATCCCGCCCCTCAGGCTCTTGCTGGAACCCCTGGGAGGGGTGGGCAGAGCAGGCGGCAAGGAGGCCCCCAGGGTCCGTCTCAGACTGTGGGAGTATCGGGCGGAGTCGGGATGGCCCGAGGGCTTGGAAACACTGTCACCATGATTTCAAACACTGTCACCATGATTTCAAACTCGAAGGGTTTAGAAGGAAGTGGTTCACAGGTGCAAAGACTGGATGAGCCTTTGGGGGGAGGGGGGGTCGCTGTGTGTCCATGCAGGAAGCCCTCCCCACGCTGTCCGCACCTCCTGCAGGCACTTGTCACGGGCCAGCCTGCCCCGTCTCTGACCCTCACGTCTCCTCTCCAGCGAGGGCAGGGGTCGCTGCCTTTCTTTTCCGCTGCTCCATCCTGAGTGGAGACCGCGGTCTGCACCAGGCGGGGCAGGCCTGGCCTGACTCACCCGTATGGCATGGGCACCTCCCTGCGAGACAGGGAAGGCTGCCCTGCGGAGGGCAAGGCGGCGCTGGCTGCAGCCAAGCAAGGCCGGTGGGGGAGAGGAGAGTCTTCCAGGCCTCGCGCATCACAGGGCCGCCTCTGTGCTGAGCGCACCCAGGAACCAGTGACTCGTGCTGTCCCCAGGGGCCGAGGTCCTCAGCTCCCGCCAAAGGTGGGGGCTGGGGTCTCTTCGTGGCCTTTCCTACTCAGATCTCCGAGGTCTAGTCAGGGCGGCCCCCCCGGAATGGGCTGGAAACAGTCCACCCCTCCCCCGGCCGCCACTGGGGTCTGTGCACTCCCCCGTCTCAGTCTGATTTCCTGGGTGACTGTGGCTGGCTCCTGCCCTGGCCTTAGTCTCCTAATTCACGTGTGAAACAGGAGCATTCCCTATGCTTCAGTCATTCTCAAGGCGCAGCGGCTTCCTTACACCCATGTACCTCTTCCAGAACTAAGCGTGTTTTCAAGGCACCTGAGGAGTGCCATTTGCTGCAGACCAGAGCTCACGTGTGTGAGCCGTCTTTGCGCTCCTCAGGTCGGAGCTCGCGCGTGTGAACCATCTTTGCGCTCCGTGGGTCGGAGCTCACGCATGTGAACCGTCTTTGCGCTCCGCAGGTCGGAGCTCACCTTGGAGACGAGGGCGCTGACATCTTGCCTAGGTGGAGTGAAGGAAACTGAGCTCAAGCTGGAGTTGGGACGGGCTTTGCAGGCTCAGCTCTCCTGCCCTCAGGGCGTTGTTATCACCCCAAATGGGAACACACACCCCCCTCCATCCCCAACAGGAAGGCATTGCTCCTTCCCATCGGCAGGAGGAAGAAAGCTTCCCTCTGCTCCCCGCAGCCCAGCCAATCAGAGACTGCAGAGGCCCAGCCCCCAGGAGCCTCCTGACTTTGGATCCCCGGCTCCTCCAATGGACTCTGGTGATCACAGCCCCTCCCAGCTCCCCCTTCTCCCTAGAGTAGCAAGTCCCCTTCCTTGATCTCTAGATTTGCCTGTGGTCCACCACTGCTCACATATCCTGAGCGGCAATCCCTGAATAAATCCCTTTTGCTGGTGAAATAACTAGCTATGTTGTTATTAAAGTCACTGGGCAAGCTAGCCCCATCTCTCTCCAGAGACTGTAAGCCCAGTCACTGAGACGGTGCTGAGAGGTGGAGCGTCAGCCGCTGGGTCCCTACCTGCAGGGCCCTGGGATCCCCAGGTGCTGCCTCAGCCCGGGGCCGCTCTGCACTCCTGCTCCAGGCAAGTCCCACGGCTGGCCGGTCAGGTCCAGTCCTGACTCAGGGCCCTGACTGGGACCCTGTTGGGCCTCCACCTCCCCACCCCGGGGCCTTGTGTCTCCCTGACCCATCAGGTGGGCCCCAGGCGCCCTCATCATCTGCCCACCTGGACCCCTGTGAACGTCGGCAGCTCGGGTGTACCCAGCTCTGCCTCCAGGCTCACCGGGGCAGGGCCAGGAGCCTGGAGAGATTCTGGAGGCTCCCATGTGATCCATGATAGACCTTTTTCCTTCATGAGAAATTTTATTCTAATTTTATTTTAGGTCTTCTGTGTGGCATATGGAATTTTAGATCCTTGACCAGGGATCAAACCCAAGCCCTCTGCAGTGGAAGTGCAGAGTCTTAACCACTGGCCCACCAGGACGTCTCTGAAGATTACGTCTGAATATAAAAATGGAAGCACTAATGAGGATAACTCACTCTTGTCAGCACAGGAAAGACAGCCCTGGAGGGATGCCCCCGCACCAGGGACCCGTCTCCAACAGGTGCCCCACCCTCGGGGCCACGGTGTGGAGGGCCTGACCGAGCTCTGAACCCCTCCTGCCGTCGTTCGTCCCACAAGCGCTGACCGAGTCCTGCCGTGCCGGCAGAAGCTTGCGCCTCCTCCCCTGTGCGTCCAGCAACCCAGCTGGAAGCAGAGGAAGAAGGGGTGCGTCCAGATGACCCACGAGAGAGGGCTGAGTGTGGGGAGGGCAGGCGTCGTGAGGGGGCTGGGAAGCTGCAGGGGGCCCGGCCCTGGGGTGGGCCGGCCAGCTGTGGGGACCAGGAGGGGTCAGGAGCCTGCAGAGGGTGGCAGGCTCAGCAGCGGGCCTCCCGAGCCCCAGCGACCCTGCTGCTGTGTCCCAGCGTCTTCCCTGCAGCGTCAGGGGGGATGCGGGTGAGGGTCTGGCGCCCGTGCATCCCAGTGGCGTTCAGGGGAGGCGACGCGGGGAAACCTAGATGGAAGGACCAGAGCTGCTGCTGGGGCACCTAGCCCACCCACCAGTCTCCAAAGATCTTGGTGGGAAGGGAGGAGCCTCAGGAGGATCGCAGCCGGCCTGCAGCCAAGGGCAGCAGCATGGCCCACCCAGGGAGCCCCACGGGGGAGTGGGGACCAGCGACGGCACTGTGGGCGCCACCCCAGCAGTGGGGCCAGCCTGCCCCTCTGCCTGCGACTGAGGGGCCAGCCCGCCCCTCTGCCCGCGACTGGGGGGGGGGGCAGTGTGCAGGCTGCGGCGGCTGAAGCGTGGGTGACGGAGGGCTGGGGAGGCACCTCGGGGGCCTGACAGGCCCTGGACCTGGGTGCGGGACTGGCTGCAGGGCAGGGGGGGGACAGGCCATGACCTGGAGCACTGCCTGGGGCAGACCCAGCTTTTGGAATTTCAGAGCCCATCCTGGGCTGGAGCCAATGACCAGCCTCTGTCCTCTGGTAGCCCGGCCAGACACCAGACCCAGGCTCCAGGCTCCCACTCTGGGCTCTAGACACACTCCAGGCTCTGTGCTCACACTCCGAGCTCCATGGACACACTCCAGGCTCCGTGCACACACCCTGAGCTCCGTGCTCACACTCCAGGCTCCGTACACACATTCTGAGCTCCATGGACACACTCCAGGTTCACGGGCAGAGTCCAGCCTCTGCCCTGTGCCTTCACTCACTAGTCTGCTGGTGACTGTTTCATCAACTGGCTTATTACAAGCCAGATTAAAACAACAAAAACAGTAAACTCTCTTTGAGGGACTGGACTTCTCTGTTTTTACATAGACCATTTATTAAGTTAGAAGGCTGAAAGGTACAAACATATCTTACAATCGAAGAGGAATGTGGACCCTGGACCCCAACAGAATGATCTGAAACGCAAAGCTCCAAGGACTGTTTCTGCAAACACCCAGCACGGCTCCTCAAATGGGGGTGGGGTGGGGAGCCCACTGGACATGCCTCTCCTCTCCGACACTGAGCAGCAATGACCCGCGAGGCGCCCCAGTCCTTGGCCCGGCAGCCACGGGCGCCGCGCTGAGTGCCTCCCAAGGGGTGGCCTGGACGTGAGCACGGAGGTGAGCAGAGCAGCGGGGACAGCAGGGCCGTCGGACGTCTTGAGGTCCCACAGACGCAGCCTCCTCTGACCCAGTGAAGCAGCAGGCGTCCACGAGAAAGGACCCCGAGAGCTGGCAGATCTGCAGCCGTCCTGAAGCCAAGACCCCTGTCCTCAGAGGCCCAGGCGGGGGAGGCAGCGACGGGGGTGGTGTGGGGCCACTGGGCCGGGGCTGGGGTCAGGCGTTTGGAGCCGTGCTGCATGTGGTCACCGCGCTGCACTCAGGTCTGTGGCTGCATAATCGTTGGTCTCACACATCTACAGAGAGCCTGCGGCAAAGGCACCTGTGGTCTGAACCCCCTCTCGCAGGCCTCCCGCCCCCAGGCCACCACGGGAGGAGCCTGGTCAGCTCGCCCGCCGGCCTGGGAGGCAGAGCGCAGCGTCGCTGGCTGGCATCACACTAAGCCTATGTGGAGGACAGGACTGCAGTCAGTCCTCGCCACCTCGGGTGACCGCCCGACGTCACAGGGTGGGGTCCGTCTCCACGTCCCGAGACTGGGCAAGGCCTCTAGACAGAACGGTGACCACAGCTGACCGCCAATGACCCCGTCAGAGCGCGCTCAGTGTTCTCACTCCCACGGGCGCCACCCAGCCTGTCCCCATCCTCGGTGTCCACGGCCAGACGCAACGTCAGGGTGCACACCACGGGGCACCTCCTGCCTCTCAGGAAGACCTCCCAGTGCCAGCGGTCACCTCAGTGACCCATCCTGGGGCCCAGGGCTTCCTACATAAGGTTGGCAGTGAGCCGAGTGCCTAGAGGCCCTTCGACAGCCAAGGACAAGGACGGGGTCTGCTTCCAACACCCCACCTCACTGAGCTCTGCGGCCAGAGCGCGTCTGGGGGGGGCAGCAACCCCTTGGGACAACACGGCACAGAGGGGCGAGGCAGCAGGAAAGACTCGGGGCTGCGGACTCAGGATGTGGCTGCAGACGCCAGGCTGGGCCAGGGTTCCGCGCACAGGCTGGGCCCCACGGCGAGGTCTGCCCGGCCCCAGCGAGAGGCCCAGGAAGACCACCACGGGGAGGAGACGAGTTTCCCGTCTGAAAGTCCTAACATGACGCACAGCAGCTGTTAGGGGTTCTCTGCCTCACGTTAGTGTGTCTACCCAGCCAGGCCTCATCACGAGACCCTACCCGTCAACCCAGAGGGGGCGCTGCTCCCAGGAGAGCACCCTGGGAGGACGGGCGGCAGGAAGTGGGTGTGCGCACAGGACGCACCGCCTCCACCCTCTGACGGGAAGCGGGAGGAGAGCCACCCCACCCGCCCCAATCACATCCAGAACGGCTGCAAGAACCAAAACCACATGCATCCTACACGAGGGCGTGGACTGGGCTACACAGACGTCTGAGGAAGGGCTATGCGGGGCGTGTTCACAGGGATCTGCTGGGGATGGTGCTCTGGGGAGCTGGGCGGGCGGGCGGCGAGACGGCAGGCGTGTCTACGACTCCTCGCCCATCTGGAGCAGGGAGTTGATGGCCGCGTCCTTGCTGCCCCGCTGGGCCTCCAGCACGGAGCGGATCACCTCCCGGTCCATGTTGGGAAACATGTCCTGGATGGCCTTCAGGTCCTCCTCGCTGCAGCGGGGCTGGGCACTCACGGCCGGGGGCAGCGCCACGGGCACCACGCCGGGGCTGCACACGGCAGGCATCCCTGCAAGCAGAGGTGGGCTCAGCAGACAGCACCTCTACCGCGGGGCCCAGGTCTCACCTGACGTCTCCCCCCCAACACGACCCCAGGGGTCTCCCCTCGATACAACCCCAGAGATCTACCCCCCTGACATGACCACAGAGGTTTCCCCCTTGAACATGACCCCAGAGGTCTCCGCAGAGATCTCAGCCCCCGACATTACCTTTCAGACAGGCCAGACGCTTGGGAGAAACAGCGGTGTGCAGACCTCGGCCATTTATACCACAGGGGTCAACCCCTCCCACCACGGCCACACCCAGCTGCCCACCCCACTCCCCAGCACCGAGACTGCCCCGCTGCCCCCTCTGCCGGCTCTCCAGGACAGGCCTTCCCAGCTGGACACCCAGCCAGTCAGACCCTGACAAGGAAGGAGACCCACGGGGCGGCCGGCCCAGCGTCCTGGGGGCGGCAGACACCCTGCTCCACACGGGCTCGTCACACTGGCCACACCCCCTCACTCCCTTGTGGACACTGAGAACCTCAAGGCATCTCAGCTCCTGGAAGATTCAGACCTGGAGCCACTGGACCCCAAGTCAAAGCTGCGAACCTCTCGTGAGGAAAACAAACGAGCAAAAGGCAAGAGGCGCTACTGAGGACCTGCGGCTCAGGGACAGAGCCCGGGTCAACCGTCGCTCTGAAAAGCAGAAAAGGGTTTAAAGCTGTTTGCTTTAAGAAACTCAAAAGCACAGTCACCCAACCAGGCCCGAGAGCTCACATGGTTTCCTTTCCCGTCTGAGCTCAGATGACCTTAAAGGCAGCTCAAAAGCGTCCAAACCAAAACCAGCAGAAGGGCCGACAAGCGCTGAGGTGAAGGGGTGCCGGCCACAGGGGTGGGCTGGAACCTGTGCTATACACACCCCACAGGAGTGGGCCTGGCCCCTCCTCCCCTGCCCATCCTGGGCGGCCCCGCCGAGCACCCAGCCACCTGCGCCCGCCGCCCGCCAGCCTTTAATCCTGAGAGGCGAGAGGTGGGGGGTCCCATGTGGGCCCTTGAGCCTCGTGAGACCGAGGCCCCAGGCGTTCTGGAGCTAGGCAGGCGCCCGCCCGCCACCCTGCACCAGCGGGGAGCAGGAAGGGGACCTGAGACGGGGACGCTGACAGCTTCGCTCGCCAGCTCCCATCGTCTGCAACGCACGGCCCCCCCGGCCCCCCCACCCACCCAGCGGCCTGCATTTCCCATGCTTCTGGAACACTCAACCTTTAGCAGACACCCTGACTCTACTTAGGCCCCTTCCCCCAGGTGGGTCCAGGGCTGTAACTCCAGTCCTCACTCTTCACCGCGCTCTGCTCAGAAGCTTAGAGGTTTCTCGGGGACACGGCCACCACCATGCGCATGGCACCCTCACATCCTGGCCTGTTTCCTGGGCTCTGAGCCTCCTACGCTCGCATCCTGCCCCATCCTACAGACTGTTCACACCCAGGGGGGCTATGTCACTTCCAATCAGAGCCAGGGTGGGAACCGACCACAGGCTGACGTGAAGGAGCAGAAATCCAAGAGAAAAGCCAGACCCAACTTGACTGCTGCACAACGTGAACTGCTGTCATAAAGGTAAACACTGCCACGTGTGTGGAAAGGAACGCGACGGACACAGGAGGGCTCCAGTGTGCGGTCCGTCCGTCTGCTCTACAGGGCGTGACCTTGTGCTACCGGGACTCAATACTCAGAAATCATGCTTCCCCATCTGCATACAATTCAACTCACCTTCTTTGTACCAACAAGAGAAAAAAGTGACCGTACTCCCTACACGTGCAGGAGAAGTTCACATGCGACAGCACAGCCCCGGTTTGGGGAGGCTCTCCAGGCACCGCTTGCAGACCAGGCCCAGCCGACAAGGCACCACGCCGGGGCTGCACACGGCAGGCATCCCTGCAAGCAGAGGTGGGCTCAGCAGACAGCACCTCTACCGCGGGGCCCAGGTCTCACCTGAGGTCTACCCCCCAACACGACCCCAGGGGTCTCCCCTCGATACAACCCCAGAGATCTACCCCCCTGACATGACCACAGAGGTTTCCCCCTTGAACATGACCCCAGAGGTCTCCGCAGAGATCTCAGCCCCCGACATTACCTTTCAGACAGGCCAGACGCTTGGGAGAAACAGCGGTGTGCAGACCTCGGCCATTTATACCACAGGGGTCAACCCCTCCCACCACGGCCACACCCAGCTGCCCACCCCCCTCCCCAGCACCGAGACTGCCCCGCTGCCCCCTCTGCCGGCTCTCCAGGACAGGCCTTCCCAGCTGGACACCCAGCTAGTCAGACCCTGACAAGGAAGGAGACCCACGGGGCGGCCGGCCCAGCGTCCTGGGGGCGGCAGACACCCTGCTCCACACGGGCTCGTCACACTGGCCACACCCCCTCACTCCCTTGTGGACACTGAGAACCTCAAGGCATCTCAGCTCCTGGAAGATTCAGACCTGGAGCCACTGGACCCCAAGTCAAAGCTGCGAACCTCTCGTGAGGAAAACAAACGAGCAAAAGGCAAGAGGCGCTACTGAGGACCTGCGGCTCAGGGACAGAGCCCGGGTCAACCGTCGCTCTGAAAAGCAGAAAAGGGTTTAAAGCTGTTTGCTTTAAGAAACTCAAAAGCACAGTCACCCAACCAGGCCCGAGAGCTCACATGGTTTCCTTTCCCGTCTGAGCTCAGATGACCTTAAAGGCAGCTCAAAAGCGTCCAAACCAAAACCAGCAGAAGGGCCGACAAGCGCTGAGGTGAAGGGGTGCCGGCCACAGGGGTGGGCTGGAACCTGTGCTATACACACCCCACAGGAGTGGGCCTGGCCCCTCCTCCCCTGCCCATCCTGGGCGGCCCCGCCGAGCACCCAGCCACCTGCGCCCGCCGCCCGCCAGCCTTTAATCCTGAGAGGCGAGAGGTGGGGGGTCCCATGTGGGCCCTTGAGCCTCGTGAGACCGAGGCCCCAGGCGTTCTGGAGCTAGGCAGGCGCCCGCCCGCCACCCTGCACCAGCGGGGAGCAGGAAGGGGACCTGAGACGGGGACGCTGACAGCTTCGCTCGCCAGCTCCCATCGTCTGCAACGCACGGCCCCCCCGGCCCCCCCACCCACCCAGCGGCCTGCATTTCCCATGCTTCTGGAACACTCAACCTTTAGCAGACACCCTGACTCTACTTAGGCCCCTTCCCCCAGGTGGGTCCAGGGCTGTAACTCCAGTCCTCACTCTTCACCGCGCTCTGCTCAGAAGCTTAGAGGTTTCTCGGGGACACGGCCACCACCATGCGCATGGCACCCTCACATCCTGGCCTGTTTCCTGGGCTCTGAGCCTCCTACGCTCGCATCCTGCCCCATCCTACAGACTGTTCACACCCAGGGGGGCTATGTCACTTCCAATCAGAGCCAGGGTGGGAACCGACCACAGGCTGACGTGAAGGAGCAGAAATCCAAGAGAAAAGCCAAACCCAACTTGACTCTGCTGCACAACGTGAACTGCTGTCATAAAGGTAAACACTGCCACGTGTGTGGAAAGGAACGCGACGGACACAGGAGGGCTCCAGTGTGCGGTCCGTCCGTCTGCTCTACAGGGCGTGACCTTGTGCTACCGGGACTCAATACTCAGAAATCATGCTTCCCCATCTCCATACAATTCAACTCACCTTCTTTGTACCAACAAGAGAAAAAAGTGATCGTGCTCCCTACACGTGCAGGAGAAGTTCACATGCGACAGCACAGCCCCGGTTTGGGGAGGCTCTCCAGGCACCGCTTGCAGACCAGGCCCAGCCGACACCCCACACACCTCCCTCCTGCTCCGACACCACCCCAGGAGACGCGCCGCGAGGAGGGCAGACGCACCTGCGATGGGCACGTAGCCCACGCCCTGCTGGTACACGGTGGGCATCAGGACCACAGGCTGAGGTGGCACCATCATGGCAGCCGGCAGCGACTGAAAGACACGAAAGGTGACCCAGAACACACATACACCCAGCCTCGCCGAAAGCGCCTGGTAGGGGACGGCACCAGGCCTGGAGCCCTGCAGGTCGAGGCAGGGACGCGCCCTGTCCCCGTCGTCAGACCGGGGACACCCCTTCACACCGACTCCCCTCAGAATCCTCCACGGGCAGAGGACGACTCAGGCAAAAGGCGTCTGTCGTCAGACCTGCGGAACCACGACTGAGAGGTCATCGACAGACGGCGCTGCTCAAGAATGTAAACCGAAGTGTAAACTTCAGGCCCAAACCCCTGACGTCTCAGGACGGCCTTGCACAAGTACAGTAACAGTGCTCTGTCCTCATAGAACTGTCTGCTGAAAGGGCGGGGTGTACGCAGGAGCACACGTGCTGACGTGGGAACCCGCAGTAAACCGGTCCGGGAGCCCCAGGGCTGGGCGGCGGCCTCACCGTGTAGGACAGCACCAGGTTGATCATGCCCTCCTTGTCGTCACCCTGCCGCCCGCTCAGGCTGTACCACTCGTCCACCACCTTGCCCTGCTTCAGAGCCTCGGGGATCGTCACGTGTGTCCAGGCGATGCGGTCATCCATGGAGAAGGCTCGCTGCGGCAGACGGGAGAAGGCGTGTGACCCCAGAGGTCCCAGGGCTCCCCCCCAGGGGGTGCACAGCATGGAGCACCCTCCTCATTCCACTCCTGCGGGTCCACAGGCAGGGAAGAGGGGCTCCAGCAGGCCACCACCATCGCCTGCACTAACCCGCGGGGCCAGGCCCCACAGACACACGCGCCCCCTGAACCACGCCTTCCCCTCCCCCTCCACCCCAGGCCCCAGAGGTGAGGCTGGCGGTCAGGAGGAAGGACACAGGAGGGGGGCCGAGCCCCAAGGACCGCAGCCTCTCCCAGCCCCGCCGCCCACCCCACCCCAGCACTGCAGCCTCTCCCAGCCCCGCAGCCCACTCCACCCCAAGTCGGGCTCAGGAGGGCTGGGGCACGTGGAGGGCCAGGCTGAGGAAGGCCCCAGGGCGCCTGACACCCCAGGGACACTCAGGAGGCTCCTGCTGTTCACCCACAAAGAGGCCAATACCCACCCTGCCAGGGGCCTGACTGAGTGACCCCCTAGCCACATGCGGACAGCGGTGCCTGGCCTGTGTGGTCAGGCGACGCCCACGTTCTGGACACAGTGGTGACGTGTCTGAGTGTAGGTTCCAGAGACTCTTGAGGCAGAGCGCCTGTCACACCACAGCGCCCGGCGTACACACGCCCGACGTTCCGGAGAGGCCAGGAGCCTGAAGCGCAGTGGCCCGCGTGGCGCTCACCTCATCGAAGATCTCCAAGTAGAAGGAGTCCACGCCCGGGGGCACAGTGCACTGGATGACCTTGTTCCAGCGCGGGTTCTTGGCGCCATTATGGGCCGTGGGCGTCTCGTACACGGCGTAGCCCAGGCGCAGGCGGCAGTAGGGGTCCATGCGGGTCATGCCATAGTTCTTTGCCAGCTTGGCCTGAAACAAAGCCGCCGGGTGAGATGGGGCCGTGGCTGTCAGCCCAGGGGCCTCCCCACCACCCACGGCTTCTGTGCACTCTGTGTGCTGACCCACGGGACACGGCCACCACTGTGCTGTCTGCAACCGCAGGTCCAGAGTGAGAGAGAAAGGCGCTGGACCAAGAAAGAACATTCCAGAAACTTCCAAAAGCAAACCCAGACTCTGCCACACCAGGAAGTGTCTGCGGCCTTGTACCGTGTGACAGCTGTGCTCACGTGGCGTGAGAGGCGTGTTAGGCGTCACGAGGAACCCAGGCATGGCTCTGAGTACGTGGAATCTATGCAGGTCAAGTGCAAACCTGCCCGGTTTTAGATAATGGCCTTGTGCGTCCTCAGACTGTGCTGCCCGTGGGGTCCCAGAGTCCGTTCCAAGGACAACCATGCTCCAGGGCCCAGGAATGAGGAGGCAGTCTGGGCTGGGCCCAGTGTCTCAGGACACACCCAATTCAGGACACACCTGCTGCTGGGAGGGGCTGGGTCCCCACCACTGCTCCTGGGGAGGAGGGTGGAAAGGGCAGGCAGTCCTGTGACAGGCAGAGCCCTGGAGAAGCAGGGGGACAGGGGCCCCAAGAAGCGAGGCCTGGTCAAGGCCTTCCCTGCGTCCTCAGACAGTGACCATGGTGGCCCCTGACCAGGCAGGAATCTCTCAGCAGTGACCGACCCTGCCCAGTGCCTGGGCGGCGGGGAGCCGGGAATCCGCTCTGAGGGGCTTGATCCCCTGGAGCCCACGCATCACGGCGGCCAGGGCTGGCACCCCAGTTCCTGCTGAGCAACGGACAGACTTCAGGAAGCGCCCTGGGGCCCGAGGGCAGGCCCACAACAGGCAGAGGGAAGAGAACTTTCCATGGTGCTGGAGAAACGCTTTTATCACAGGGGTGAACACGTGTCAGAGGTCACAGAAACAAAAGCACATTAATTCAAACCAGTGCGTCCTGACATGTAAATCATACTCAACAGACTTAATTTTTTTAAAAAGCCCCTAGAGCCTGCTGCCTGTGAGACGCCGTCTCTTCCCTCCGAAGGCTCTGCGGAAGCCCCGCCCATTGGGAGCCTCCTTGCACCCCTCCCGTGCCAACACCCCCCAAGCTCTGGAGTGTGCCCGAATCGTGCCCCAGAGCCACCCCTTCACACAGGACTGGCTGGCCCACCTCAGGACACGTGCTTCATGTCACCGCAGCACCTCCCCCCGAAGTCCTCGTCTCTGAGCCTCAGGCACCTGCCTTTCAAGCACCCTCGACTGAACGTGTCCAACGCTAAAGTGTGGCTCTCCTCCCTGCCTGCTCCTCCCGTGATCTCCCCATTCTAGTCACTGCCCACCACCCCCGGTGCCGGCAACAGGCCGTGGGGTCACACAACCTCCTCCTGCCCCCACTCGAGGGCTCCTGAACTGGACTGGTTCCCCCCAGGAGGCCAAATGCGGGGTCTTCCAGCCTTACCCACGATCTTCCTGACACAGAGCCTGAGGGAGCCCTGGACCCAGCTCAGGATGGGCCGTCTGCTTCCCACTCACCTGCTCCACGCTGCTCGCTGCCCCCAAACCCCACCCTCGCCCCCACCCCAGGGGGCTACGCTCTCCACAGTAGCCCCCGGGCCGCCCGCCGCTGCCCCCCGCCCTCAGCGTCCGCACTTGGCCCCGTGGTCTCTGAGGGCCACACCCACCTGCACCACGGTGACGCTGAGGCGGCCCACGGTGCCCAGCGCCCCTCCATACTGCAGCTGCTGCGCGGCCTGTGCGTCCAGCTGGATCTGCTGCTGCTGCTGTGTGGGCGTGATGCGCAGGAAGTCCTGGGGCAGCTCCCCGATGTACACCTGCGGGAGTGTGGCGTCAGCGCAGGGCCGCCCACCCGGGCCCGCCTCCCTGCCTACACCACGCAGGGCCGGCGCTCCAGCCTGCAGGCCACCGAGGGCCTGTGCTCCCGGGAGGAGGTGCCCAGCACACGGCGCTCCGTGGAGGCCCAAGCACGTCCCTGCCTGAAGGCAAGTCTCACGCCCTCGCCGGGGCTGCAAGCCGCTCTCAGGCCTCAGACACGCTTGTCCACGTGTTGGAGGTCCCAGCCGCAGACCAGGACCATGGCAAGCACGGCCTCTCCACCAAGAGCTGTTCACGGGTGAAGCCTGAGGCTGGGATGTCAGGAGACTCAGAACAGCCTCTGTGCAGACGCCTCAGGGGTACAGCTCACACTCAGAAGCACCCCGGAGACCATGAAGCCAGAAGACTGACCAGCAGAAGCCCCAGGACCTAGCCCTGAAGAGGGGACGTGACGGGAAGGCGGTGGCTCCCGGGCACACGCCCGCATGTGGAGAGCACGCGGTCTGACGGTGACGACTCCAAGGAGACCACAGGAGACGAAGCTCGGGTCAGCTGGGCTCTGCCGGGGTGGTGAGCATGGAGAGACGCCCCCCAGGGCAGGTAGCCCACCCCCTGGGTGCTCAGGGACCTGGACCACCTGCCTCTGCTCTCTGCCAGGCGGGGGTGTGGGGGGTGCAGGGCCGGGGGGCACAGTGCAGCCAGAGCCCAGGACCCACGACGGAGGCCTGGCTGCTGGGGGGAACCAGGGCCACAGCCCCCCAGCGCCCAGAACACTCACAGACCCCCATGCAGGGCCCCGAAGGACGCGGCGGCTTCAGGGAACACGGGAGAGAAGACCCCGTATGTCATGGTGAGCTCTGGCAACCACGTTAATGGACAGTGGCCGCCAGGGACCACCAGACGCTGCCAGACGCCAAGACTCCTGCGGTGCCGAGCAGACAGCACCCGCCTCCCCAGTTCATGGTGCCCCTGGGAGAGCGCCTGCCGCAGCTCACAGCCACCCAAGGGTGCCTGCCTGCTCTGGGGCCCCAGCCCTGCCCCCGTCAGCCTGGTGCCCCACCACTTCTCTCACAGCATGCTGGTTCTCACCCCAGAGCCAGCACCAGTACCGTGAGGAGGGAGCCCCCCCAGGAGTCTGATGCCAGTGGCAGGACAGGTGGGACCTGGGGAGGAGCACAGGGCCTTTCTGATGGGCACTCTCCCCACTGTCCCCCCATGGCCTGCTCCCTGTGGACACTGGGCTCCACTCCGCGTCCCCCAACTCCACTGCCGCGAGGCTCAGTACAGGGCGGGCGGGCCCAGGCACCCCGGAGCCCGCGTTGCCAGGAGAGGCTCAGCACCTTCCTTCGCTCCCCAAGGCGCCGTGGGGCGTGTCTCCTGGGCGGTGGCGCAGCTGAGCGGGCCCCAGGATGGGCCTCAGGAGGCAGGCTGCTCATGACACCCTGCGGGCTGCACCCCTTGGGAGGGGCTGAGGTGCCTGGGATACGCCAGTTCCCATTTCCACGGAGCCAAGACCAGATCCCGTGTGCCCGCAACGCACCGCCCAGAGCTCTCGGCCCGCTCGCTGCCGGCTGCCCACAGTCCTGCCCAGGCCTGCCCGGTGCTCGTCTTCAGCCCTGACTCCCTGTGATTACGCCCCGGGGTCGAGCACAGCCCACCCCCGCCTGCTGCCCTTTGGAGCGGCCGCCCACCCAGCCCTGAGGACCCCGGGGGAATAGGCTGTGCGGGGCCAGAGCGACCGTCAGGAATGGCCGCTCCCCTCCTCCACAGTCCGTGTGCCTGCCGTAAGCCAACTCCCGGGGCTGTGCGCCCCCTTCACCATCCTCAGGCCTGGGTGGGAGGTGGGGGGGTCGTCACAGCTGAGGGCTGGTGGAGCAGCACCGAACCCAGAGACTCCTGGTCCAGGCAGCGGGACGCCTGCTCTCAGCTCACCTGCCAGCCACCGCGGGAGGCTGAGGCCTGAGCCAGCGGCGGGCCAGGGCAGGCCCTGGGGGGTCCCTGCCCGGGGGTGGTCTGGCCCCACTGGCCAGACAGCAGCCTCAGAGGCCCGTGGGGAGGAGTGGGCCACACATTCAGCCCAATGCGCCCCACCCCCAGGAGGCCACAGGACGTGCCCGCTGAGGCCTGAGACTCCCACCGTCACCACCTGGGTCACTGCAGCCATGGGGTGGGTCTCCACACCGGTAACCCTCCCTGCCCAACCCACCCTCCTCCTCCCTCAAGGAAAGCGAAGGAAAAACCTGGAAGCCACCAGAGGGAAGGCAGGTACCACCGGCGCCTCCGAACCCGGCCGAGGAGGGGGCGGCTCCCAAAGGGCTCCATGGAGCCCCCAGCCCTGTCCTCTGCCAGGTGTCACTGCGAACAGCTCCGTCCTTCCTGGATGCCAGCTCTCCTCCCGTTCCTATCCTGCAGGTCGCCCCAACTTTCTAAACGGCCCAGACTCGCACAGGCCATTGAAGCCCAAGCATCTGGCTGTCCCAGCCCTGCGGACAGTCCATGAGCCCCAGACAGGGGACTGAGAGGTGGCATTAACTGAGCACAAGGCCTCCAGAGGGCCAGCGAGAGACACCAGCAGCCAAACAAGAACCAGACCGCGTCACTGATGGGACAGCGAGCGGCTCCTGGGGGCTCGGCCAGGAGCTCCAGCGCTGCTCACGCTGCTCTGGACCTGGCGCGACTGACACGGGGCACCCTGTCCACACCCCAGCAAACCAGCCACTGCAGGCTGTGGGGCCCAGGGCTGGGCGGACCGGCACGGCACTGACAGGTCTTAGCTCCACCGCACGTGTGCGTCGTTACGGCCAGATGCTGGGCAATCACAGCTCCCACGGGGTTCGTATCACAACAGAAGAGAGGCAACCGCACAAGGTCCCACTGCTGCCCGAGGGCAGATGGCATGACCAGCTGAGGTGGCCTTGGGAGAAGACGCCACCTCTGCAGAGACCTGAAGGCAGGAAGGGGCGGCATGCAGGACCTGGGGAGGACCGGGGCACAGGCCTGGCTGGGAGCCTGGGGGCAGCTCTAGGGCCGGTGGGGAGGTGGCCAGAGCCGGGCAAGCCAGGGAGGGCAGGAGCGTAGAGGACGGATGGGCGCAAGGCTCTGACTCGGAGCCGGGGGGTGGGGGTGGGGGCTGCACGCACAGCAGGCTCTGCCTGGGGCCTGGCCCACGGGTGACAGTGGAGACCCACTGGGCAGGGGAGGCGGGTGTGGAGGTGCCCAGGCTGAGAAGGAACTGACTCTGGGTCTGCTCGGAAGGCAGAGCCGCGGGAGAGCCTGTGGTTGTGCGGGAGGTTCTGGTGGGAGCCCCAAGGGGACTGGGGCTGCCGCCCGATACAACAGAACGCCAGGGAGGGTCCCAGGGAAGGAAGGAAATTCCCGTGAAGACGGAGCCTCCAGCAGGGAGGGACGTCACCCCTGTGTCCACAGCTGCAGCCGTTTTCAGAGGCCCCAAACAAACCCCAGAGAAGTCAGCACTGGGCCCCCACCCGAGTCCCCCTTCCCGCCCGCTCACTCCTGCGCCCCACAAAGTGCAGGTGCATCCTGGGCCCCGGGGCCTGCCCACTGTTGAGAGGCAGTGGCCTCTGCTGCGCCCCACTGCCACCCCGCCAGGGCTCCTCTGCGGCCCCGGCAGCACCATCGGTGGGGGTGGGGGGCAGGTGGACTGGGGGGTGGGCGTGCAGGGCCAGCAGCCTCGAGCTGAGCGTGGGCCACACCTCCCACGGGCCGGGGGCGGGGGGAAGGACGCGCAGACGCAGGCAGAGGTGCCAGAGCAGAGGGGGTCTGATGCCGACGCCGCCAACACGGGCACCTTCACACCCTGAGAGAAGGGGACCGTGAGCTCAAGAGTCCCAGACACCACACAGCCCTTTCAGGAACCAGAGAAAGCAGGACGAACAAGTCCATTGGAACAAGTACCAGCTCATCAAAATAACACGGCTCCTAGGAGGAAAGCAGAGGTCACCGAGGCCACTTGCTGCCCAGGAGGAGGGCTGTTACAGTGACGGAGCTGAGAGCCCCCAGGGCTGCACGGTGACGCTCCCAGGAGGGCTGCAAAGAGGAGGGAAGGACGACATGTTTTCCAAACCAGCAGAGAGCGAAAATGGAACTTACCTGGGTTTGATGACTCCAACAGAAGGCAAGGAGAGAAAGAGAAGAAAAGCAGGCAAATAAAAGCACAAAAAGAAGTGCTGGGAACAAAGAGCGTGTGCGTAACTGTGCACAGAAAACCAACACGTTCCTGTCGAAGGGTGAAAACTTGACGGTCGAGTGCGTGCTGTTGATGGCAGACCCACCTGACACACAGATTCAGAAAGAGTGACTCCAAGAACGAAAACCCATCAGGCAGACACTCCCTGAAAGAAAGCTGGCGTCCCCTCATTGCAACAAACCAAACATGAAAGGCCTGTACACAGCCAGCAGGGTCACCACACGCAACAAGGTCTGACTCACAGGAAGACAGGGCCCTTCTCAGCCCAGAAGCGCTCCTAACTCAGCCGCAGAGAATCCAGAGCAGAGCTCACGGGGCCTGGGGAATCAGGCCATGGGCCAGCTGGGCGGAGAAGCCACCCCTCGCCCAGGACTTGGGCCAGAGGGACGGACTCACCCAGCGAGAGCGGGCCATCTGAGCGAGAAGGGAGGTCGAGCCAGTCTCCAACGGAGAGAGAAAGCCACGCACCAGCCCAAAGAGAAAAACCACTCCTCCCATTGAATACTGCAAATGACAGAGCAAGAACTGAGCCTGCATCTTGCCTTCCATACAGACTGCACTTAAGGACAAGCAGACAGCACTCACCTACACTACCAGGTCCGCCAAAACCAAGCAATAAAACTCAAACAACTCTCTGCCACCCCTGGTGGGTCACAGGTTCAGCAACAGCGATCAGTTCATCCAAGGCTGACGAGGACCTGGCCATCACAGGCCACGTGGCGTCACCCCACAGCTCGCCCTCAGGCCTCATGAGGGAAAAGACAGAAAGGGGCTGCGCTGACCCGCCAGCATCTCCAAAAGCTGGATGAGTGGCCCTCATTGCTCCCATCGGCCTGGAGTCCGTGGGCACACAGCACAGCTTGGCCTCCGACCAAGCCTGACCGCTGCCCGCCAAGCTGGCCGGCAGCACAGGGGTCCGCAGCGATGCGTGCCACAAACCTGCTCTGACCTCCACACAGTTACTGCCGCGGGTGCCCTCCAGCGCTTTCTAATCCTCTGTGGACCAGACGGAGCACAGGGTGGAGAAGGGAGTCAGAGGGAGAGGCCAGCACCGCTGAAAGTGGGCAGACAGCACAGGGCAGGCACCCTCGGCGGCCACTCAGGGGGAGTGATCCTGCAGACGCAGACCCGTCTTCTGGGAGTCACGTCGACTCCGTGCCCCTTGGGCTCCCTGCTCAGGGACAGAGGGGATCTCCCCAAGTGGGCGGGCCCACTTTTGCCTTCAAGTGCCTGGGGACCCTGCCCATCTCATCCTTCACCAGGCATGGGAGGAGACAATCAGACTTCAGAGTCGGCCCGGATCCCTTGGTCAGTGACCCTGGGCTGAGGCTGAACACTGCCTGTCCTGTGTGGGCCGGACTGGGAATCCTGGCAGAGGGCTGACCCTCAGGCATGCCACCCAGCCAGGGCCGGCATGGGAAGCCCCGGCTGGTCTAGCGGTTCTGCCACAAGCCCGCCGTCCGCGGTCCTCCACTGCACCAGGCACATACAGGATAGCACGTGGGGGCACAGGCAACACCAAGTCCATGCGTCCTGGCAAGGGAAGAGGTCTCCGCCAGACTCTGGTAATTGCAAAAGGAAGGGCTCCTTGACACCGATAACTGGAGGGAAAGCCTCTACAAGTGCAGTCCACCCACAGGGGGTGGGCTGGTGGGGAGACGTGCAACGAGAGGATATGTACCAGGCAAAAGCTCTACAAAAAACAGAAAGCACACTCTAGTGCCCACCCTGCCCTCTGGCACAGGCACCCCAACTCAGGACCCCCCGGCCTCCTCTCCCCATCCTCTCCAGCTCTGCTTCGAACGCTCCCCCTCCCTCAAGTCTCGGTCAGACGTGCTTCCTCCACAACCCTTACTCACCCCACGCCCCGGCCCAGGGAGGTTACTGCTCACCCCAATTCCAATTCAGACCTCCAGGCCCAGGCCTGGCTCCTCTGTCAACCTCACAGCAGTGTCTGTGAGCCATGCTGCACAAGACGCCGAGGCCAGCGAGCCCAAGGGCCCTGAGCCCCCAGCCACTCTGGCCCAGACTGACCCTCGCGGCGTGAGCTCGGCTCCTGAGGAGCACCCCACAGACACCTGCCAGTCCGTGTGTGGGGCCCACGAGCCCCGGACAAGAGAACGTGCCAGTCGTCTGGGTCACTGGGGCCTCAACGGCACAGGCCTCACATCCGGACACCCTCTGCCGCCTGGGCCTGTCACAGCCCTACCTCAGCGCAGGGCCAATGTCCCTCTGGACGAGAGAAGGGCCCGCCTTCACCACACGCTCCCCTCACCTGGGTCGGAGCAGGCCTGTGCATGTCTGCCTGTGGATCCTGCCTGATGAAGGCACGGAGCTCCCAACAGGTCTGACCCAGGACAGAAAGGACACCCGCCCCCGCCCCAGGGGAGCGAATGATCTGCTCCCCGAGCTTCTCTGATGAGCCACTCATGTAGAATGGAGGAAGTGCTGATGCTCAGCCTGCTCCAAGTCACCGTGTGCAGTGAAGATGGAGACATGAAGTCAGGGGACAGAAACCACCCTACAGACTCTGGGACCTTTCCACACCCACATCTGTCACGAAGTCCTGTTACGTCCCATTCAAATGCTCAGAAAGAGCACCTGTGCCCAACGGGCTTCCAACAAAACCTGCCTTCCTCAAACACAGAAAGACGTCGTGTGGATGGATTCTTCTTTGGTTGGGAGAGACACAGACAAGATCTGTCCACTCTGACAGGGAGGGTGAGGAGCCCGGGGCTGCGGGGACTTCCCTGAAGCCACATCAAAGCATCAACCAGAACCTTGTCCCAACTCAAGGCCCTGACTGTGATTAAAACAAACAAACCAACCTCACGGCTCATGGTCAGGCACCTCAACCCAGTCCGAACGGGGGCTGGAGACGAATCCTCAGGAGCCGGAGTCTTGCTCTTGGACAAGGACACAGTAGCCGCAGGAGACAGGGCTCCAGGGCCGGGGGCGGAAGGGGACTCCCAGCTCAGGACCCCTCATGTGTTACCAAAAAAACCGCCTGGACCCTCCTTCATCCAAGCGCTGTCCGGGTGCCCCTCTATAGAAGGATACTCTAGGCACATGGTGCCGCCTCCTTCCGGGTACTCAGCGGGTGCCGATCCTCCCCAACTCGGGGGGCTCGCCGGTGGGGGCGGGGCCTCCTCCTCCCGGGGAACCAACGGGCACCGACCCTCCCCCACCCCGGGGACGCAACGGCGCCGACCCTCCCCCACCACGGGGACGCAACGGCGCCGACCCTCCTCTTCCCGGGTAACCAGCGGGTGCCGACCCTCCCCCGCCCAGGGGAACCAGCGGGGGCCGACCCTCCCCCGCCCCGGGGAACCAGCGGGCGCCGTCTCTCCGCCCGGGGACGTAACAGCGCCGACCCTCCTCTTCCTGAGGAACCAACCGGTGCCGAGCCTCCCCCATCCCGGGGACCCAGCGGGTGCCCACCCATCCCGGGGGCCCGCTGGTGGGTGCGGGGCCGCCTCTTCCCGGGGAACCAACGGGCGCAGACCCTCCCCCGCCTAGGGGACCCAGTGAGCGTGAGGCCTCCTCCTCCCGGGGACCCACACGGTGCGCGGCCTCTCCCTCCCGGGGACTCCCTTCCGCTCGCACGGAGGCCGGTGTCGGGCCCTCCCTGTGCCCGAAGGCGCGAAGCCCGCCCCTGCCGGAGCCTACCGGCCCGCGCTGCGTGCTAACGGTGGTCGCCATGGTCCGGTCGGCCCCGCGTCTAGCCCACCAACAACTGACAGAGACGCGACCCGACGGCGGTCCCCCGAGGCCGCAGCCGCCTCAGTCAGCTGACGGCGGCCCCGCCCCCGCCCGGCCCTGACGCAGGCGCAGTGCGTCCCGCCGCTTCCGGCTTCTCGCTCAGGCACGCGCGCTCCCGTCGGGCTCCCGCAGGCGCAGTTGCGCCCCGCGCTGCGGCCCCGTGAAATGGCTCCCGAGCCGGCAGTGTGCGCTTGCGCGGCGGGGCGGGGCTGGCAGTGGGACGCGACCGGCGGGTGCGGGTTTTGATTGGAGCCGCCGCGGCTGCAGCTGATTCGTGCCCCGGCTGCGCCTCGCGAGTGGCTAGCGTGACCCGGTTTGGCCGCGGCCTTCCGAGTGTTCGGGCGATGAGGCCGCGCGATGCCCCTACTGCCCACCGGCTCCTCGGCACTGTCTGCACGACGCTGCTGGACGGGCCGTCTCTGGAGTCTCCACGCAGCTTTGCGCTTTTTTGTCCGAGGCGGCTTCCCCGGGCCTGGTGTTCTGCTGTCGACACAGGCGGTCTCCAGGCAGCAGCACGAGACTATATAACCCCAATCCTGTAAGCCGCTAGCCACTCCAGTCAGTTCCGTGGACCCCCCGCCAGTGGTCACCCTCTCCCACCCGAGCTGGAACGCCGCTGCCCCCTCGCGTCACAGCCTCGGGCGCCCGCTAGTCTCTTCTCCGTCCAGATGGGAAGTATTAAGAAGCTTCCAGATGGCACCCAATCCACAGCGAGACCCTGCGTCCTTAAAGCTTACCCGGAATCACCTTAGGTGATTCCCCAGTCCTATAAGCCCCAGTCGTATAAGGGGTGCCCCGCTGCGTCCCCAGGGTGTGTGGTCTTACTGGTCTACAAACCAGTAAGAATCCCAGCTTGTCGAGTTGCATGTGTGTTCCTGGTGGCCTGCCTGGAGGGCACCGTCACACCCGAGGCTTGAACCGTCCTTTCCATGGTGTGTACCTCCCAGAGCCTTCAGAAGTAGCCAGCCCACTGCACCGTCTTTGCAATCCCGTATTTGCCCAAGCGACTAGATACCCACTCGCACGGCGTCACATGCCACCGCTGGTGATAATTGTAGGAATTGGGATGTCCCTGATAGACACAGGCTCCTGGTACTCAGTTTCCCTGGGCAAGGATTTTATCCACAGACTCATCAAATAGACGTGCACCTGAAGGCCAGCATCCTGTTTAGAGCCTGTTTTCTGGGGTCGCTTCTGGTGGCAGTTATAGTATCAGTCAGGGTCCCAGCAGGAAACCCTCGGTGTTCTCAGGAAGATCACTGGAGAGATTTCAGCAAATGTTCTGTTTACCAAGAAAGGGCAGAGTTAAGTGGGAAAGCAAAGCATGAGGGACTTTTAGTCTCAGGGAGCTGCCACTACTCCTAGCCTGGAAAGGACAGAGAGGGAGGGAGCAGAGGTCAGGGAAAGAGGCTTCCTCAGCAGACTGCGAGGTCACTGCCGACCACAGGCTTGTGGGAGGGGCCTGGCCTCTGTCCTCCCATCTGATCTGTAGTGTCTGCCATCAAGCAGACCAAGAGATCCATTCTGTAGATAAAGACACAAAAGAGAAAGGTGGAGAGGATCTGGGAGGCCAGATAGAGACTATTCTACACGTGTCTAAATGTCCTCAACAGTGGGTGGGAAGGAGAAAGTGGGAGGAATGGAGAGAGTAGCTTGGAAAAATATACACTAACATATGCAAATAGACAGCCAGTGGGAATTTGAGGTATGACTCAAGTTGAGGAACTGCAACTGGGGATCTGTGCCCACCTGGAGGGGTGGGATGGAGTGGCAGGTGGGAGGCTCAAGGAGGGAAACTTGGTATACCAACACAGTATTGTAATCATCCTGCACTAAAAGTGAATTGAACGTCCTCGATAACCAGGGGACACAGTTTTGGAAAACATCATTGAAAAGAGCAACAACAGAATAGATGAGATAAAACTATTATGAAACTTTTATGAGTGTTAAGGAAAAATAATAAAATTTTATTAAAACACATTAAGACCTAAATAAGTTGGGAAGCTATATACCATATCCATGGATAGAAAGGCTCAATGTCAGAAATATGTCAATTGTCCCCCAAATTGCCCTACAAAAGAAATTGTCATTAAAATCCCTACAGGGTTTTTGTTTTTGTTTTTTTTTTAAGAAATTTAGCAAGCTGATTCTAGAATGTATATAGAAGGACAAAGGCTGGATGTTAGCCAAAACACTCTAGGAGAAGGAAGAGGAGAAGCCGGAGACAGGGAGAGACTGTTCCAGGAGATGTCAAATGTATTCTAAAACTATAGTAATGGAGCCTGTGACATAGATATGGGGATAGTCACCAATGGAACAAAATAGAAAAACTTGATTTATGAGGGTGTTGGCCCTTCTGAGCAGTATCTTCTAGTACATGTACTAAACAATTGGCTGTACTTGGGGAAAAAACTTGACATTCGACCCCTACCTTATGCTGAACAAAAAAGCAATTTCTGATGGAGTCGATGCAGTGAATATTGGATGAATTCAGTATCTATGCCATGGCTGTAAAGGATAAAAGCACAAAAGGCTGCCACTTTGCCTCTGATAGATCTGGGAAGGTTCAAACAGGAGTTGAGGTATCGGGAGAGAACACAGGAGGAAAGGAGAGACACTCGGTAAGACGAACACGAAGACAAGGTGTTCATCAGACCAGCACCACCTGGCCGCCAGGGCACTGACCACATTTCCTTGAGAAAGACAGAGGGAGCTGATGGGCAGAAAAAGTGAGTTAGGTGGGCCAGAAAAGGGGGTTCAACCCCAGGGTGGGCATGAGAAACAAAGCATTATTAATAGTAAGTTGTCATCATGGAGCTTTACAGAGTGAAGTTGCGGGCTGTAGAGGTGGGCAGAGAAGACGTCTCTGGCAGGAGAACTGAAGAGGGGACAGAGCTGGAGGGCGGGGTTCAGCCAAGTGTATTTCTGTAGCAAGTGTCGACTGTGAAGGGAGTTCTAAATGCCAGCTGCTCCACCTAACTGCCTACATTTGCTCAGAGAGCCAACACTAATCCAGGGCCGCAACCCTGTATGTCACCTCAATGATGACATCAGCCTATGGAATCCTCATTGTGCCCAGTCCATCCACGTTGTCATGGCAGGTAAGCTCTCCTTGTCCTTCTGTGTCCAGGTTTTAACTCATAATGGCACCCACAGGCCCCAGTATTCATGGGGCATCCTGATGTCCCAAGAGCCCCACATGGTGTTTTGTATGTCTTTGGGTGGATTCTTGAGCAAGAGTGAAGATAAATGACACCTTTGCATGCTTCATGGGTGCCAGGTATTGATCTAAGTGCTCAGCATGTTTCATCTATTCAGTCTACAATGCAGTCCCATGGGGCACATGCATTTGTTATCTGCCTGACAAAGGATCACAGGCAAGTGAAGGATGAAAATGTTTACTGTTGTCTAACACCAACAAATAATTAATCTCCACAATGTGGAAGTCTGTCCCATCACTTCATGGCAAATAGATGGGCAAACAATGGAAACAGTGAAAGACTTTGTTTTCTTGGGCTCCAAAATCACTGCAGATGGTGACTGCAGCCATGAAATTAAAAGACGCTTGCTCCTTAGAAGAAAAATTANTTTGCCAACAAAGGTCCATATAGTCAAAGCTATGATTTTTCCAGTAGTCATGTATGGATGTGAGAGTTGGACCATAAAGAAGGCTTAGCACCAAAGAAATGATGCCTGCAAACTGTGGTGCCGGAGAAGACTCTTGAGAGTCCCTTGGACTGCAAGGAGATCCAACCAGTCCATCCTAAAGGAAATCAACCCCAAATAGTCATTATAAGGACTGATGATGATGCCCAAGCTCCAATACTTTGGCCACCTTACGCGAAGAGCTGATTCATTCAAAAAGACCCTGATGCTGGGAAAGATTGAGGGCGGGGGGAGAAGGGTGACAGAGGACGAGATGGTTGGATGACATCCCTGACGCAGTGAACGTGAGTTTGAGCAAGCTCCGGGAGATAGTGAAGGGCAGGGAAGCCTGTCACTCTGTAGTCCATGGGGCCCCAAAGAGCTGGACACGACTGAGAGACTGAACAACAGCAAGATGATAAACAGACAGATGTTGCGAATTCAAAGAGGGGAAGCCCAAAGGCTTGACAGGTATGGGAAAGGGCTCTCAGACTCCCAGCGAGTGAGACAAATAAACTAGTAATTAGACACCACCTTATATCTATCAGAAGAGTAACCTTTAATGGGGAGGGAGACCAAGGGCAGGTGAAAACTGAGCGAGGGCAGCAGGTAGGAGTCAGCCTGGCAGAGGCGCTCTGGGGCTTAGCGAACTAGACACGCCCAGGAGTGTTCTCCTGAGCTTGTGTTCTGGAACCTTCTCACGCTGACCCACAAGGGACGCACTCAAGGCTGTTTGTTGCATAGTTGTTTGCGCAGCAGAGCCGGCAGCCTAATTGCCTGTCGTCAGGGGAATCCGACGCACGCACGCTCTGGGTGCAGCCCAACAGGGAGAAACGGCAAGCTCGATGTCTGTAGAGCAGCTCGTATGAATGTTTAAAATCCACTCAAAATAACTAAGCAGCAGTTTTCAAGACACAGGACATCAGGCAACCTAGGTCAGTGGTCCCGGTGGGATAGGGACCCTAGGATGGCTCTGTTCACTGCCTGGGGAGACAACGTAGGCTGCCACACCAGGAGGGTGACCGAGGGGCAGGGCAGGGTCTCCCTGGGTTGAGGGGACTTGGCCTGGGTCCGAGGAGGTGAGGCAGGCTGGCATTTGCAAAGCGGAATTCCTGCAGAGAAGGGACTGCTGTCTGCAGAGGCTCCCCTGGAGCCTTCAGCTGAGCTCAGACCAGAGCATGCACGGGATGAACTGCCAAGCAGGATGAAAGCATCGCCTGAAAGAGCTGCAGAAATCGTACTGCTGGCCACGCAGGGCCGGGCACGGTTCTTGCTGGCACAAGTCAGAGCAAGAAGCCACGTAAGCGACAGAACACTGAGCACATGAAAGGTTCTTCCTTGAGACTGCCAGGGATGCAGTGGGCTGTTTTCAGCTGGCAGAGGGACGCACTTATCAAGAGGACAAGGAAATCCTGAAAGTTTATATAGCTAGTTGTAGCGCTCACGCTTGAAGCAAAACTAGGGAGAACTGTGGGGACAGAGACAAACGCACAGCCGCCCAAGGGGCTTTCAACCCCCTCCGCTCCACATCCAGTGGGACAGAGAGAAGCCTGGTAAAGGGATGAGCGATGAGGCGGCATCCAGACAGCGGGATGTTCCAGGCAGCCGGATCTGACCGACATCTCTAGAAAACTCCATCCAAGAACAGCAGAATATACATCTTTATCAGTAAGTGGACACTGAACGGGGCCTCCCTCGCGGCTCCTGCAGGGTTCCATCCCTGGGTCAGGAAGATCCCCTGGATGAGGGCATGACAACCCACTCCAGCACTCTTGCCTAGAGAATCCCATGCACAGCGGAGCCTGGTGGGTACAGTCCATGGGGTCGCAAAGAGTTGGACACAACTGAGCGACTAACGCTTTCACTTTCACACTGAACAGTTACCAAGATAGACCACATTCTGGGCCAGAAAACAGTCTAAAATGACTCAGGTCACACAAAGTGTATTCTCTGACTGAGACATACGCAGATCTACAGTGTGGGTCAGCCCTGGTCTCCAGGGCTGCCATTTCACTGAGAAGAGGAGACAGGTGGGTTCTGACCTGGGCTCCACACCACTGGCAGTATTACCCGCTGAAAACAAAGGAACACCTACCTAAGAAACCGGTCCATCCTAAAGGAAATCAACCCCGAATAGTCACTGGAGGGACTATTGCTGAATCTGAAGCCCCAGTACTTTGGCCACCTGATGGGAAGAGCCAACTCATTGGAAAAGACCCTGATGCTGGGAAAGATTGAAGGCGGGAGGAGAAAGGGACGACAGAGGATGAGATGGTTGGATGGCATCACCGACTCAATGGACATGAGTTTGAGCAAGCTGTGGGAGATGATTAAGAAGGAGAAGGGGACGACAGAGGATGAGATGGTTGGATGGCATCACCGACTCAATGGACATGAGTTTGAGCAAGCTGTGGGAGATGATTAAGGACAGGGAGGCCTGGTGTGCTGCAGGCCATGGGGTCGC